AAACTGGCAAGCATATTAAGTCGAACAAATTGATTGCACAACCGAGAAGCCGCTTTCTGCCCAGGATAATTTCATTTCTACGGTTTCCGCGATTCAAAATAAACGCCGATTAGCGCGCCGCCTCATTATCACGCCATTGCTACTGGCCGCCAGAGGTAATAGTTTTGGAAATAATCCAAGGTGGCGTGTAGTGGTCTGAATGACGAACAATACAATTTTTCATTGTGCATCGTCCCCGTACGACGAAAATTCTACCTTTAAAAGTCTTTAATTTTGATAAATTCATCAATATTTCAGTCATCTGATAATTAGCTTACGGTACGAATGGTTGCTCAAAATAAACAGTAAATTGCAATTATTCACCTTATTTGAAAATATCACGGCGGATTTGATGCATTTTATGACGCGCACAGATATGGAAAACACATGGGGAACGTATTGCATATAAGTATTTCACGAATTGATATAATAATATCCATATGTATTTCCTTTTGCATTAATACAACGTATTCTACGCGTGTTTTGCATACGTTTTTCATATAAACAGACATATAAGGCAGACGTTACGAGAACATTTTTCCTTGAAATAAATTATTTTCCATTTCGGTTAACCCTCGGGGACCTTGGATGATCTTTAACCATAGGTCGCTATACACGTCATAAAATGCTTTATTAAGCGTAAGAAAATAAGATAAGGAAAACTATCATTTCATTAAAAAAGGAAAAAAAGTTGACCCACGCATTTTCTCTCTATACACTCCCACAGAAAATTAATCACGTTAGATTATGCTTCCTCTCAAATCACGCAGCATTTTTTTACGAGTCTTTTTATTTTATATTTTTATTTCCATGTTTTTGTTTCGCAATTATTCAATCCTTAGGTGTTCCGTTCCTCTATCACCCACGTCACAATTTGCGGATGACGCCACCGTGGCGTCAGCGTCTGTTACTGCGTCAAAACGTGGCGTGGGGTACGCGTTGTAAATTCGTATAGGGCTCTAACATTGGTGCAACCCGATTAATCCGATCAATAAATAATATTGCACTATGTACGCGAGAAATACGACCGAGTCCGTCCTCGACGATGAGACCATACGACGATGACGTTACTCGATTTTCCTCTGATGTGCAATATCCGCTCGAGTCCATACGTGGACGCCCGTGCGTGCACCGAGCGCGTGCAAAGAGAAGCAAAGGGAGAGAGCAGACGAAGAAAAGTGTTAGAAGAGGCGGGGTTCGTTCCGTTAGAAAAAGCAGCCTCGTCTGCCCCGACGACGGGAGAGAAAGATACTCTGGTTGTTGTTCTTGAAGATCAATCGCAGACAGGGTTGACTCTACTCGTCGAATAGTACTCAAATATGTATTCGAATGCATGGTTAGTTGAATACTTCAAACAAAAGTCCTTCGCTCGATGCATTCACTCATAGTAACACAAACTTCAAGTCAGTTAAAATAAAACAACAGACAATTGTCGAATCGACTTTCGTTACGGCCTTCAGCTGGGAGGAATTAACCCTCAATCGCTTGAATTGTATTTCATTTTTTAAAGAAGAGTATTATAAGATTATCGTCTATTTTTCTATTCGTTAATTAATTAATGTTCGAGTGCGATAAGTGACTGAATCCGTAAGGCCATTAGATGTCCTCGCAAGAAACCAACATGCGTAAATCAAGTAAAATTTCTCGAGTAAAATTTGTAGAGATTTTTGTCTTTTTCTTCTTGAATCATTTATTTAATTATTTATTAAGTCTAATCCCAAAGTGTCCGTAGATAAAAATTCACGCATTTTCAAGTTTATTTAACGTATCTGCGATTTTTATCATTCGTCAGGTGTTAGGAATCGATGTGCGCCACCGATTAGGAGTTACGTTGTCGAATGTTTACTAATGTTCGACCTTCGGTTGTCGTATAGATAAGAATGATTAATAATTTGATGGCTCGAAAAACCCAGGTCCCAAACAATGGTATTAGACGGCTCTTGTACGCTATCGATTATTACTACGCATAATCATTTGATCCGAGGTTTATCGATAATCCCCGCAACGACACGTTTAATAATCAAACACGTGAAACGTGAAATTTTAATCTATGTCAAACAGGGTCGTAATTCCTTTTCGTCGGACGCATAGTGGCACTGAAATAGGGTTGTCAGACTCAAACCCTTGTATTTAACTGACGGTAATGTATTCAAAATATACAAACACAAAGTCTTCGAAGTATTCAAATACAAAGTATTTGAACAGATACTTCCTCGATACGAAAACATTCGAATACTTTCCCCCAGAAGATATTTTGTTCGATACACAAAACGTGACCTGGACTCCCCAACTCGTGTTTTTCCCATAGGAAAAAATTGTCCTCGCGGTTTTTTCCCCGATTACGGGATAACCCGACCTATAAGGAAGGAAAATAATAACTGAATCACGACCGGGTACGTTATTGACTGCACCGTCGTCGGAGTCGTCGAAACTCGTGGAAAAGTACGGACGCTGCTTACCGGGTAAAATTCCTACGTGGTTGGCTTGTCTCCGCTGCAAAAAAAGTCCCATGCTAATTCAGCGTTGAACGCTCGGTCTCATAACGGATGAGTTAGCACGCTTCATGATTCTCCGCAACGTCGAGCTCTGGATCCCGATTATACCGCGAGGGGGATGTCGTGACGGTAATAAACTTCCACGGTCTTTGTATCAGACCAGTCGAGCACCAGCATAATTCTTCCATTCTTTTCCCTGCCACTCGAGAACTTTCGAAATTCCTAAACGTGACTAAAATAGGCTCATATTGTCTCAGCTTCCGTTGTTTGTATTTACCTTTCCTCACAAACATCTGAATACCATATTCAACGAATATAGTCGTGTCCCATTCGAGTACTTCGAATACCCAGATACTTCATGGGTAAACTAAATATTCGAGTACTTTGAATACCTAAATCCCTTACCAGTTGAGAAAATATTCCAATATTTTGAGTACAACTCAAAAAGTATTCTAGAGCGTAAACTATACGAGTATTCGAATATTTTGTGTATCGATCTGGGGTATTTAAAGCATTCGAGTATTTAAATATCCAAGGTCTATCATTTACGAGGGTCACTAAATATAATTAATCGAATAATTTCTCAATAATTATCCACTGTCTAGAAACCCGAGAATTTTATAAATAAAATGTATCTCGAGGATCTGCGTGCTTCCTTCGATTCTGATATTTTTAATATTTCTTCACAATGGCTGCCAGTCGTCTTGGCATTCACTAGGGATCGAGTTGTATGAACAGGTATATCATTGGATGCTTCCATTAATGCTTTTATTAAGGATATCTTTGCTCGTTATATCTGCTCCTCTATAGAATTCAGATTCGCAGATCGCAGTGGAGAATTTAATTGGCGAGGAAGGTTGTATAACACCGAATTCTTCGTGAACGTGTTTGGGAGGGTAACGCAATTACCGACGTTTTTTTATTAAATGACAATATGACAATATATTTATTAAATGGGTGAGATCTACATCTTATTCGAATACATACACGAATCTGATAATTCCAATATAACTATATACGTTTTATTATGAGAAAACATTTTTGTGTTTCTGTTTATTTATATAAACTCCTTCGATATCCAAATGATCAGCAGTGTTAATGTTTCTTGGAGTGTTTATAAACATTATACCAGTTAACAAAGAGGTGGTCCAACTATCAAGACTTCCGTTCGCGACGACATTTCCAAACGACTTCCGGAAACGCATCGAATAACAAACAATCGTTTATACAAATGATCGATTGTTCTGTAATCATCGAGGGTATTAACTGCGTGCACGAAGCGTCGAAGGCGCGCAATTTGCATCTTACATTCGCGAACCGTTCCATATTGTAAACACAGCATTCTTAATGATTATGCACGAACTCGAGGAAACATTGACAATTAACATTAACTTTTGTCAGGCTTATTCGAATACTTCGAATACTCAAATACGTAACCAGTCCGCATAGTATTTAAATACAAAGTATTTAAACTATTCGAATAGCTTGAGTACTCAGATACTTCGTCAGTACACAATCGTAAACAAAAAATCGTAATTCTGTCTTCAATGGGTACTTTGACGATAAATATCCCGCAGCTAATTGGCTTTTGAAATGCACGTGGTTGGGTCAGAGACTGGTAGTGGAGCCATGACATAAACCATGCACCATCACGGGCGGGCGCCAAGCATGCCTAGTGACTTCAAGTCACGTACAGTAGCTATCGGGTGTCATGCGATTGATTGTTTAGAGTAAGCTCGAATGTTCCGAGAGGGCCAACAGCCCGATGATGCATTGTTTAACGAACAAAGATATTGTCCAAGAGGATCCGACCACCCAGTAGACAAAATTTCCAAACCTGGTTAGGACTGAGACTATCGAGTAATTGGATTATTTATTTTGATTTAGTATTCGAATGTTTCAGTATCTGTATATTTTAGTATTTGACTGTCCCAAACAAATGTAAAGATTAATTTTCTTAAAAACAGAGCCTCGTGCGAAAAAATACTATTCCGCACTTTTGTTGCATCTTTTAACGCAGAATGATCCTCTGGAGCATCCGATATATTGCAAGAGGATATAATCGCACGATTTGGGGCTAATTGGTCGCGAAAACAAATTGAGTCACAGACATTGCTTCCCTATTACCGAACTGCGAAATCCCGCCGTACACGTTGCGTTTTCTAATGTTGGCGCGACTCTTTAGCGATGCCTCCGAATAACGGCGTGCAACGACACGCTCGAATATTTGTCAAAGAACGACGCGAACAACGTTTAAATGTTTCATACCATTCTTACCCTTGTTCTGTTGCATAATGTGGACAATTGGAAACCGAATGAAAACAATGTCTGTTATCAAGACGCATTTTAATCTTTATTAGAAGTTTCTGCAACCCTCGGTTCAGAAATTGTTTTATTTTAAGATGGAATTTGTTTGTGGTGCTTAATAAGCTCGTGTTTAATAATTTGCTTTCGTCTGTCAAGTAGGCCTGCACTTGCGGAGCATCGAGGAGCCGAGGATGACGGCGGAGACGGCAGCTCCTTGTGTACAGGGGGTGCAAGGGGTGCAGAACGTAATGGCGGGACAAGGTGCACTGCAACAGGTGCAGGATGGAAAGTCCAGCGGCGGTTACTATTCCTCGACTTCGGCCATGTACGATCCGGAGTACGCTCGCATGGAGGCCTGGCTCGACGAACACCCTGATTTCGTCAACGACTACTTCCTCAGGTTGTCACCATTAATGATACCATTACAATTTGTAGCAAAAACCAATCATACGAACTCGATATTCTACTATTTAATTTAGAATTGTGCAAGACTCGTTGCACCTTCTTATTGGTGACGCTACACCCTGACTTGGTCAATGATGATGTCATCAAGTTGTCACAATAAATAATGCCACGATTCTTGTCACAAGAAACATTAAAATCAATCCGACCTACGTCCTCAGGTTATCGCCATGAATAGTACCATGGCTTTGAAGACTGCGTAGAGATTCATCCATAGCCATCAACTCCTCCACTCCACGAAACGTTTCCTCGCGTTTCTAAAGTTCAATTCTCGTGCTCCTTAGCCCCCCTGTAGCCACTTCTTTTTATTCCACCGGTTGAGGAGCGGTTTCCGTGCTGCAGCTCGACCATGCAATCCAGCAGCTGCTAATCTACGCTTAACCGTACTCACGGGTAATGGAGTTTCTTGGCTGGTATTCACACTTGCCCGAGTCTCACCGGCAAGCGAGACGTCCCAACCCTCTCAGACGTCACTTTTATTCTCGGTTCCTTGGCTCGTTACTTCAGGCTTCCTCGACCGTTTCTGAAACAGGAGCGTCTTTTTCATTCAACTTCAAAGTGTATTGCACCGGCGCGATGACTTCAGGTCTACCAAGGAGAGCCTCGACGTCGAGTGTTCCCGTCGAGGAATAATCGACGCTCCTCTATTTTCAGCGGATGTTTGTTCACTTTGGCCATTTTCCTCTCGTGGCAACCTCAAAGGGGTATTCTAGTCTGGAACGTTTGAAAAATCTATTTTTTTTTTTTATGGCATTTTCTTCAAGCGCAGACGATGGGAAGCGTAGAAACGAAGATGGTTTTCGATTTTTTTTCATTTCACAAACATACTTTTCTCGAAAGGAATTGCACAAGATTGTTTAGATTGCGTTTAGTGCTGATTATTTTCATTAAAAGGAGAATATATATGTTTTTGAAATATTAGTAAATACGTGTACTTAAACAAAAATGTAAGAGAATATCTAGAAATTGACACTCTAAACTAGAATACCCAGAAGAGTTAGTTTTAGGGGATCTTGTATACCAGAAAATTGAGGATACCTTGATCAATGGATAATCTGGGGATCTGGGTAATCTGACCTTCCTAAGAGCCCACAATCAGCCATAAATTAACGATTCAACTGTCCATCGACAGGAAAGTGACGAGACAGACCGTGGACATGTGGCTGGTGTCGCACGCGACGCCGACGTCCTCGTCGAGCAGCTGCGTGGAGCTGTCCAGCCCGATCCACGCGGGTGGTGGCACATCATCTTCGGGTCGAGGTGGCTCGGGTGGCTCCGGCGCCACGACGCCGGTTCGAAAAATTTCAGCCCACGAGTTTGAGCGCGGCGGTTTGCTGAAACCGATTGTCAACACCATCGACGGGACGCCAACCTTCCTGAGCGTCACGCCAGGTGATTCTGGCCAGCCTGGTAGTCAGCCTGTTGGCTCGGGGAATTCCGGCAGGCCTCAGAGGCGGTCCAGGCACGAGCTCAGGCACCTCGACGAGAAGGATCTCATCTTTGAATTGGTACAGTTACATCTTCCTTGAAACGCTATTTTTCAGTAAATTGTATCGGTTATATATTTTATATATAAATATTATATAGTTTGTAGTAGTTATTTTAATAGTTATACAACACCGGTTAATATTCCAGTGTTGCTCAAAATGCAACAACAATCTTCCCAAATATCTTGCGTAATTGAAAATCAATGGATAGAACATTTTAGCTAAATAACGCAGTAAGTTAAATAAAAATTGATCGTACCATACATCTGTCGCATGCCATCTTTACGATAATCGTACGTTCTCCCTTCGGATTAACCATCATCGACCCCTCGCGAGCCTACGAGCTCGTCGGCAAACATAATTATCAGAAAATTTGCGGTCGTTGTCAACGTGTGCACACACCAGTTCCTGACGAATATCGATTTTGCTGTCGTAGGTCAAGGATATCTGTAACGAGCTGGACGTGAGGTCCTTGTGCCACAAGATCCTGCAGAACGTGAGCACCCTGCTGCACGCGGACCGTGGTTCCTTGTTCCTTGTCCAAGGGGAGAGGGGCGGTGGTTGCATGCCCTCGTCGCAAAATCACGACTCCACCTCGAACATCCCTGTCAGCGGCTTTGGTCCAGGGAAAACTGAGAACGGGAACTCCGAGCAACGGGAGACGGGATACTATACTAGGAGCAGATGCTTGGTCTCGAAGCTGTTCGATGTGTGCTCGAGGTCGACTCTGCTCGAGATGGAGAAGAAGGACGAAATTAAAATTCCTTGGGGTACGGGGATCGTTGGATACGTCGCCGAGAGCGGGGAACCTGTTAACATACCGGATGCTTACAAGGCAAGCGAGCTTAAAAAATGATAAAATAATTAAAGAATAGAAAAGATTATATAAGCTTAAGAACAATAATTTGATACTTCCTAGTTAAATATTACCAAGATTATTTATAGGGTTTCGTATAAATAGTGCAGAAATTGATGGCAACTTCGCCAATTCACGGTCGGAGTATTCTAAATCGGTTTTTCTATAATTACACAAAATATCACGCATCAGAAATAGTTTATTGGCTAAATAACAATTTACGACACGCTTGTGATCAGTCAACTGTTTTACAATGTATAATAGGTTTCCCTTTTGTACAGGAGTTAAGCTTTGATTAATACAAACATAGTAAATTAATTTGTTTAAAATTCAGCATTTTAGAATTCAAATGCTGAACGTCAAATATTTGAACACTTTTAAAGTGCCCGAGACAATCGCAATATTCAAGATGCACAAAGTATCTAAGATTTCCGAAATATTCCACTTTTCCAAGTCAAATATAATCAGAATTCTATCCCTTAAAGTGGCTTGAACTTCCCAATTCCGATTTCCTTGGAAACGTGGATAGGAAAGTTTCGGAGTCTCGTTCCTTCCTCCATCCCCCAGAAATTCCAGATTCACGATCTGATCGAAAGAGTGTTTCTATGCTTGCAGGATTCGAGATTCAACCGTGAAATCGATGCGTTAACTGGGTACAGAACTCGAGCCCTCCTGTGCATGCCGATAAAGGACTGCAACGGTGATGTAATCGGGGTTGCGCAAGTGATTAACAAACTTGGCGGCGAAGGGCAGTTCACTACGCAGGACGAGAAAGTTTTCGCCGGATATTTGCAATTTTGCGGAATCGGTTTGAGAAACGCGCAACTCTACGAGAAGAGCCAATTGGAGGTGAAAAGGAATCAGGTTGGTAAACTAGACTCTATGATTCGTTGACTGTCATCAGGGTCACCAAGGTTGCGATTAGGATACGACTATTTTTAGGTCTTTTAATTATTGGTGTAACTCAAAGGAAGCTTTATTTTAATGACAGGATTTAATAATTTAATTTTAACGAAGTTAATAAGATTTTAATCAAATCATATGCCACAACATAACTAAACATAACAAAGCATAACAGAACGTCCTATTAAATAATTGCTGCCCTATTACAGGTTCTTCTAGACCTGGCCAGGATGATCTTCGAAGAGCAGAGCACGATAGAGCACATGGTCCTAAGGATATTAACGCACACCCAGTCCCTGATACAGTGTCTTCGAGTACAGGTAAGCCTCTAGGGTGATCTATCACAAGGACACGAAAGAAATGTCTTGCCCAAGACGAACGCACTTGCTATCCTGCGAGGATGATGGCACGTAATTGAAAATAATTCTCCCCAGGTTCTCCTAGTTCACAAGGCGTCCAAGGGCAGTTTCTCGCGAGTGTTTGACTTCGAGGCGAACGACCTCGCTGGCGAGGAATTAGATTCTCGCACTAGGTGAATGAAGTTTGTAATTAACATTCTTTTATTTATTCGTCGTTCAATTACCACCAATAATTCGATTTCCTCGAAAAGCTTACATGTGTATTCGGTTTTGTTCACGCAGTCCATTCGAGAGCAGATTCCCTATAAATGTCGGTATCACCGGTTACGTTGCTACCACTGGTGAGGTGAGCTACATTAATTAACAATTGTTTCCTATTTTATTTTTATTTTTTATTTTTTTTTTATTTCCCATTTTGTAATTAATGAAATACGATAAATATCGAGCGGGGTCAATCCGAGCGTGCGATTAAGAGTTCGCCGACATTTTTCCGTAGACGGTGAATATACCGAACGCCTACGAGGATCCAAGATTCGACCCTTCGGTGGACGATGGTACCGGTTTCAGACATCGCACCATTCTCTGTATGCCCATCAAGAACTCGTCGGGTCAGATCATCGGCGTCATTCAACTGATCAACAAGTTCGATGACCTCGCGTTCACGAAGAACGACGAGAATTTCGTCGAGGCGTTTGCTATTTTCTGCGGCATGGGCATCCACAATACGCACATGTGAGTGTGAGACCTCTCAGAGATCTTGTTAACAGCATCGTGTATATTAATACATAAGTATTTGAAAAGTATTCGTCGAAATTACTAACCTTTGTTCCTCTTTTTCCATTGTCAGGTACGAGAAAGCTGTGATAGCGATGGCCAAGCAAAGCGTCACATTAGAAGTGCTGAGTTACCACGCTTCCGCCTCGTTGGAGGACGCGCAAAGATTGAGGGTTAGTACTTCTTTCAAAGCACTAAGATACAAGATTCAGTTTTAATAGTATAATAAAATAGTTATTTATCTTTCCATGTTGTATATAACTAAACAATGGTTTGATTTCAGGGCTTAAGAGTGCCTTCTTCGGCGCATTTCCAGTTGCACGATTTCAAATTCGACGATATTCATATGGAGGACGACGAAACGTTGACTGCCTGTCTGAGAATGTTTCTGGATCTCGACTTCGTCGAACGTTTCCACATCGACTACGACGTTCTTTGTCGCTGGCTTCTCAGCGTGAAAAAAAATTACAGAAACGTCACGTACCATAACTGGCGCCACGCGTTCAACGTAGCGCAAATGATGTTTGCCATTTTAACTGTAAGCAGGTCTTTTGTAATTGAATTACCTTACTGACACCCTGTATAAGTGGTTCGAAAATGAGCAACGAGATTGTTATGTTTTAGGCCACGCAGTGGTGGAAGATCTTTGGGGAAATCGAGTGTCTAGCATTAATCATTGCCTGTTTGTGCCACGACTTGGATCATCGGGGCACGAACAATTCCTTCCAAATCAAGTGAGTAAAATTTGCTTTATTACTAAACACTATTTTTGGCTTCAATAGTAAATGGTATTGTCGACTCAAATACTTGTTTATTCGAATATTTGAGATCATAGTACAAAATGTAACAACAAAGGAATGGATCTGTTGCTTCCAGAGCATCATCGCCCCTGGCACAGCTTTACTCGACTTCGACGATGGAGCATCATCATTTCGACCAGTGTCTTATGATTCTCAGCAGCCAAGGGAATCAAATTCTATCGAATTTATCACCTGAGGAATATTCCCGCGTGGTTAAGGTTCTCGAAGAGGCAATCCTTTCAACCGATTTGGCGGTTTACTTCAGGAAGAGGGGCGCTTTTCTTAGTTTAGCGCGAGGCGGTAGCTACAATTGGGCTTACAGCGATCATCGAGAACTGTTGAGAGGAATGTTAATGACAGTCTGTGATTTAGCCGCCATAACTAAACCCTGGGACGTCGAGAAGAGGGTGGCTGAATTAGTCAGCAGCGAATTCTTTGAACAAGGGGATATCGAAAGGCGGACACTCAATATTACCCCCATTGTAAGTAATACGAGAATTTTCATGTGTAATTATAATATATGAACCTTAAGATTAATTTTTTGATGGTTAGCAACCAACGCGATTATTTACAATCCGAAGATAACATAGTTGCTCCTTTGGTATTGCAGGACATTATGAACCGAGAGAAGGAGGATCAGCTGCCCATGATGCAAGTTGGCTTCATCGATTCAATCTGTCTTCCCATTTACGAGGTAATTCTCTACGATACCGACGATAGTAAAGTATCACGGAAACACGACTATTGAAATTATCTCTTTATCGCAGGCATTCGCTTTACTGTCGGATAAATTGGAACCACTGGTCGATGGCGTCAGGAAGAATAAACAGCATTGGCTGGAGATCGCGGAGTTCAAGTGTAAGACAGAGAATTGCACGAACCACGACAGGATGCCGTCGATGTCCGACAACGAGGAAACCAGCGAGCAGGCGGACCAATAGTCATTATTACAAAACGCGATACAAGCGAGTTGAAAAAATATACAGGGACGGGTATTCTCCACCTGTTTCGTGGAACGAAGAATGATGCACGACGCCTAAAGCACCTTGGTGATCGTCGCTCTGAGATAATCTGGAATGCTCTGCACCTTCGTCTTGATACTAGGTATTACAAGCTTTGCGAGTTAATTTATTAATTTATACATATGTATATATATATATTTATACACACATATATATATATATATATATATATATATATACATACATATTAATCACTACGGAACATTGTCGGTACCAATGATACGCGATTATAACTGCGGGTAGGAGTTCTTCAGATTCTTTCACGAACGCTTCAAATTCCGAGGAGTCACTCGCAAGGAACATTCACCAAGAATCCTCTTTGCAAGCAAACGCGAGCGACATTCTTGTCGAATATAAAATGTCTAGTAGTAAATATAAACAACTGTCTACTAGTTATCGAGTAGCAGTTGCTGAATTACAGACTGAATTTTCAATGGAGACTACTTATCGAATATTAGAATACTTTGTACCATACTTTACACCATAATTTCTGATCATGGTAGACTTTTCACACAATGAAGATACAAACTTTACAGTGACCAGATGACAATTTAACAGTTAAATAGAATAAATTAGTTATAATTCAGATTCAATTTTGCCCACCTTTGCAGGTTTATGGAGTAGGAAGTAATAAGTAAAAATTAGAAGAATTGTTTAGCTATGGTAATTTAACTGTAAGGGAATATCTTAGAATTTTCAACTAGCATTTTAAACACAGCATTAAAAATTTAGAGGGTAGTTTCACCCCTCAAGCTTGAGTTACTACAATTAAAAAATATACTATTACTAATTACTTTTCCTGCTCTGTAAATCTGCATGTTCGTTAAATTTAAGGTTACCTCGTGGATGTTTCTTGCCAGTCTCGATTGTTCATGAATTCTGTGCTCGCGGTTAACATATTCAACGCGAGTATATTGTTATTCCGACTACTCGAACGTCTTAACGATAAATATCGCGGCTGACGTAATTTATTCTGTGAATTTTACGTTCGTCGTTAAAATCAGGAAACCCCCCGAGGAGGCCGATGGTGGTTAGTTTAAGACGATCGAGGAGCTTCGTCCTCTCTTTGGAAATAAAACAGATCAACCCAGAGATGCTACTCTTGTACCTGATCGTATTGTACGTATACTTACTATGGCAGAACTTTGATGTCGAGAGAGGACGAAGAAGAAGGACGATGGGAGTGCGTAAAATTCAAAGGGAATCGCAAGATGTCGATCCTTCCTCGCGTGGAAGGTCCTCGTTTCGAATTGAAGACCTGTGGCCTATGGTGTTTCGATATGCAAAATACGTTTGTACAGGTTTGATCATCGAGACTCCGTATGTTAAGCTCAACTAACGTTGAAAATTTAATCCTAGTGATTCGAATATTTCCGTGAATATAATTCAAATACTCGAGTAACTAAATTAGAAATCGCAGGATTAATTATATTTGTAGGTGATCAATTAATACCTTACAATTCAAATATTATTCAAATACTCGAGTAACAAACTAGCAAATCTTACAATAAACTTGGTTCGTAGTCAATCAATAAATACGTGAAAATGAACTAATTAATTACCGAATTAATTCTAGATGGCTTCTTCAGACAATGCTACCCGATACACTATACCCAGGTCTTCAATCGACGGGACAGATGTGTTTTCGATGTTTCGTAGATGTAAGCAAAGGGCAGTCGGCTCTGTCTTGGAATCGCGTTTTGCAACGGAAGTTCTCTCCGCTGTTACGGACCTCGTTCGATTCTCCTAATCGTATCGAACCGTGCGTGTAATTAGATAATGTATTCGTAAACCAAAGTGTACGTTTATACATCAAGGTTAATCGTGATCTTTGTTACTCGATACGGCAATGAATTTAATTGTCTGTTCGTAACGTGCTAATTAATTAGTGGTTAGTTGACCAACGGGAGCAAACGAGAATGTCTAATGTGCGTTGTGTATTCTTGCTTTCTATTATATCGAAAGTTATATTCGTTTAGATTCGGATAATCGTTCACCTCTTCGCACGGGAACCATTCGAAATATGGAGTCTAAAATTCGGAAAAGATTTAAAGCCAACCCCACTTTCATACAATTAATTTCTAAAAGAGGTACGAAAAGAATTCAAATAGAAAACAACCGAGTCGAAAGGGTTACAGCGGAAACGTGCGAAGACGGAAGCAGTCAGGCATTCGTCCGCGTGTGATCGTTACTCGTAATGATAGTCCGTATCTTGTGTATGTTCCTTTTTAATCCTTCAAGAGTCTTTTTTTTTCTCATTTTTAATCGTCGATCGCTTCCCGTCAATTTTATTGATTCCACGACGGGAGACGCGGTAGTGAGACGTGTGATAAAATGTTTGTGTGTGCGCGTGTATCATCGTTTGTGGGATGAATGTTTGCGTGGTAAGTGTGAGAGCGTTACGTTTGTACAGTTATCGTGTAAATTATTGATACGTCGAAACGAAAATTGTTTAGCGTGTATGTCGTTTTACCGTTACGATTAGCATATAGTACGAGAGTCATATATTATACCGAACAATATCTAATATATTAAAGCGAGACTAAATTATGTGATACATACAGTGTTATGCATCGATTCGAGATCATTTAATCGCCTAGCTTTTCGACCCTGTCCGACCTGTACGTTAAGGGACTCCGTGTCCCTGAAGAGAGCGTGACCTAATTAAAATTCAGACGAGAAAAGTGCATATTCGGGTTCGCTCTCTTTTAATACTCATGTTTTCGTTTTATTAATGAACACTGTGTAACGTCCATTTCGGTAAGTATATCTAAACATGTAATTTTAATTAAAATGAAAGTAATCTAAAAAAAATTAATGAAACCCCTGCAACCTTGCGCCACCGAGATGATAACCGAACTAACAAACGGGCTAATTTCGGTTGCCGCATATAGGGGACATGGAGACGCCTACGAGATGGCAACTGAACAGACAAGCCGACTAGGGCAGGTTGCTGCATGCCAGGGGCAACAATGCGCCTAGACGAAGTCTGCCGAGAACGACACTAAAAGCTAGAACGGGTTGCCGCACAACAGGGGCACGCGAGCGCCTACGAGAGGATCACCGAACCGACACACAGGCTCGAACCGGTTGCCGCATAACAGGGGCACGTCTGCGCCTATGATGGAATAACCGGGATTACAACCAGGCTAGCGACGGTTGCCGATCAACAGGGGCACACATCGCGTAGATTTGGTGACAATTATCGGAACTATTCGCAACCAGTAACTTTATAAATGTAAAACGTTATACGTTTAATAAAGGAACTGAATTGAAATGAACGTACTTCGTTCGACTTTATTTCGTGCCACCTCTTCGCATATCATGTTCTCCTGATACCAAAATTCAAAATTGGGGTGATCATTATATACGTACGATTATTTTTTTAGAATATTATATTTTTATTAACCAATCATAATCATACACAAAGAATAATAATTAAGTTGAAATATAGTCCCTAATTTGATTGTTTAAATAAAGTTTGAATTTAATAATGGAAAACTAACGTACTTTGTACGCTATTGCTTAGGAATATCGGTCTCGTAACTAATTGAATTTAGATACCAAAAACAAAAGTTATTATTATAACACTTTGAATCTAAATCGCTATTTAATTTCGTTTGAATCTTATCGCCGCTCATACAACCTCGGTGGTCTGCATCGGCGATTACAGTACAATGCATATCACGGAGGTTGTGGATCGGCGCCAAGATTTAAACGAATTTAAACAGTGTTATGAGACGATCTGAACTGTTATCATTTTTGACCCGACCACCTTATGAGACCGATGACTCATTGGCAGAGAATACACGATCGCAGAAGAGCCCGGATCAATAGTTGACAAATTGTATTTTGCGATGTGGGTCAATCGGCGACGGACAACGACAACACGATGTTGTAAGCTTGCCTCGACAGGACCTTGATTACGGCTGCCAAATCCATCATGAAAAACGGCCAAATAACAATGTTCGTGCCCCGAACAAATTACACACGTGCTCGTATCGCGACGTACTTGAAGAAGATTAGATGTTTCATTTTACATTGTTAAAGAGCGATCACTTATCAGTTTCAAAGAAGCTATCATTTATTCATGCGTCGTCCGTTTTGGAAGCATATTCAGTGGCAATGTATGAATTATATAATTGAATTTATTTAATTATTACGTAAACACGTGTTCCGTCTCTTGTATATTGGATGGAAATTATCACTTGAGAATTAGGACTATCGAGATTCGTGGAATTATCGAGATAACCAGTCCAATTAAAGGCAGCCGTACTTGTACAGCATATCAACTACCTATGGTTAGTACTACCTGTTACTTCCACCTATAACTTCACTCGTTCTTAATTGATCATTCCTTCCACCTGTCAACAAATTGCAGCAATCTAAACTCTCTCATGCAATCAACGAGACTACATTGATCCAAGTTTTTCTGTAATCCCAAATTGCCAATCTATTTTCTCCAAGATGGATGATCGAAAATGATCAAAAATATAAGAAAACTTCTTCGTTCCTAAAAAGTATTTTTAATATTCTTACAAAATTTTATTCGATTACTTCTTTGGTGTTTTCTTTAGTGTTTCATTTACGTTTCATTTTCATTATGTTAATACGTGAAAATAAAAAATGGAAAAATAATCTACCTTATTGACTCGTTACCCCGCCCCTTTTCTATTGCAATTACAATACGAATTTTTTATTATTACAATATGACGAGTAAGATTTTACAACACGACGAGGATCATTCCGAATGAATACATTCACGAAATTTCTTGTCGCATTTTACTTAAAATACATATAGCGTATTTCGTACAATCGTATGGTTTGTATAAACATTTTTCCGAGCCGGTACGTACGTTCGCGGGCGAAAAAGAAAGGAAATGGAGAACGGATGGAACGCGTCATTCTTGTTGAACGGCTCGTTCGAATTTCAGATTTCGTAGAACAGTCAATGTAAATTCGTTTCTGGCTTTAACCAGACGTTCTTGGACCTCGCAGTGTCTCAAGTGTTGTATAGTCTCCCCGTTTACTTTAATGATCACGTCGCCAGCTTTCACGCCGGCTTGGTCTGCCAAACCTCCAAGGGCCACCTATGTGGAAAAAAGAAGACACAATTTAATCGATTACACGTCGATGGCATCAGCCTGAAAAGATATTCACACGCTTCGATTGGACCTGAATACTCGTTCAATCACGCTACTCGAGTACCACGAATACCGAGATACTAGATGAACTTGGATGAATACATAGTACATTCGAATAATCAAATATTCAAGGGGTATTCGAGGAGTGTACGAATACTCGCGTGTTCCAGAAGTAATTGAATAGTCATCGGTGTTCGAGTGCTCGAATATAGAAAAACTACAACAAGTAGCCACGGCCCTATTTTCAAGAAGAAGCCAAGTGAAGGTGTCAAAACGAATCAAGGACAATGGTCGCCGTGCCCGGTTTAAACAAAATCACGGTCGCGGTGGCATCGTCTCATCTGCGATTCGATTAACGGCTTCCTTTTTTTTTTTTTTTTTTGTTCTTCTTTCCTTAACAAATCGATATTCGGCTAGACTGACCCGTAGGATTCAGACCGTATGAAAACGAGGTCACGCGATCCGATACGAATGTGCACCGCCGATAAAAATCTCTAAAGCGGAAAATGCGAATATTTCATGGGACAATTTTTCGAGTACACGCGAAATTACCATATCGTCGCGCTGTTTCGAATTCAAAACGGAAACGTGCCGAGCCTCGACGTCGAAACGTTTCCTTGCATTCACGCCGCCAATCGAATTCCAATATGGAGAACGAGAGGAGCAGCGCGGCTCGATAGCGAGCGTCTTCGATGTGTCACGCCGTATTGGTTAACCCTAGGACGACCTCCGGGGGTCTCTACTGACCCTACGAATCTCTGGAGCATTATTATTCGACTGAGAGATAGTATTCAGGACTGAAGCTACTTTTTTGAGTATTGCTGATATCGAGACACTCGATCAGTGGCGAAAGTATTCGAATTGTATTTGAATATTTTAGATTTGTATTAGAAACGGCCAAATTATGGTAATTAGTTTGATTGTTATTGCATTAGTATAATATATGCGCATGTACGTTACCCTGACAACGGTTAAGGGAAAGCAGAAATCAACCCCTCCAGACAGACGGAAGCCCCAAGCTTGGTCCTTACTTCTAGAGAGTTTTACCACAATTTCCATAGTAGAGATTAAGTGGTTGTAAGATGATGCTGAAACCAGAGACACGTATATCGTTAGATGATTAAAACCAGAAACGTCATCGTTTTGTAAAGTTCGAACACGTTTTGTAACGTTTGGAATAGCGGTACTACAAATATTCCAGGAATATTCCAATATTCAAAAAATGTACAAGTGTTCGAGAAGTATTGAATTCGAATATTCAAATAGTCAAGAAGTATTCAAGCCGAATGGGTATGTCCGTCACTTGAGACGTATAAAAAATGGAGAACTGGATGCCTCTGTAGCTGTCACTTACACAAAAACGTCGAATAAAAGAGACACCGTGTATCCTGAAATACGAAGAAATATTAATATCGACTCGAGTGGGAAGTTTCTAAGATAGAGGAGCTTGGGATCAGGCCCGTGTCCCGGATTTAATCGGAACGACATCCACCGATCGCCCTCGCGATCTGCCTGGAATAGAGTTTATAGAAAAGTTTCTCCGCCCTTCCAAGAGTCTTCCCGATGAGGGAAGCAAATCGACTAAAAAGGTTCTCACAAATTGCACGACCGAAAAGTACCTTTCCATGTTTCATTCGCTGTTGTTAAAACTGCAAGAATGCTCGGTTTCGAATTATTTTTTATTTGCAACGGCCGAAGGCGGACTGTCGCGAAAGTTTCGTGAATACATAAAAGTAGATCGTTATGCTTCGTTATTTTAAACGATGACGTCACTCCGTTTATTTCGAATAACCAACTCTTTAAATAATGAAATTATTTCGTATACACTTTCCACTTTTCTTTACGAAGTAAAACGTGTCACGGTGAGCGGAGAACGAAGAAGAGATTCCCTTTACTCACCCTAAGTAGATCGGCAATGCGAAGAATCCCTCGAATTTCGTCGGAACAGGATGAACACACCCGTGAAGTTCGATCGAGCAGTCAGCGAAAGATAGCGGGAACAGATATCTGTCGATCGCGTGCTCAGCATTTAACCAAGACGGCGCGCCTGCGAGCAAAACGACGACCAATGTCCGTACGTTGATCATGACTTCGCGCGCTATATCAATGCCGACGCTATTCTAGAGCGGACGCTTCAGGTACAATGCCGTGGTCAGCTACGAATTTTCAAGTATAGACGCGCATTACCCTACATACCGTTTCGGATGAAGCATGCGACGCAAGGCTGCGTTTGACGTGCCCCTGAAACGAAACAAACTTCCTACACGGACCATTCCGCGCCTAATCGATCATTTACGCGCCCAACCGCCCGTGGGATTTCGATGATATCGTAGTATGCCGTGGTCCATGCGTAATTAGGGGGAGTTTAAGTCACCACTTGTCTTGGTTCCTTGTCGTTTTCAGAATACAGATATTTGAAGTTTGAAAGTGTTATTATTTTCATCAGTTTTTGAGAAAAGTGCTTTGGGGATTTGTTCCTTTTTTATTTTGACCATGAAAGACGGATCTGTAAAATGCAAATTTTATTATAGTTGCTAAAGTAATATTTACAATATAAAAATATTTTTATTTTATGAATTCTGTCCCTGTAACGTTTCCTAATTGGAACTCCACCGATGAATGTATACGTAAACGATTAGCACTTACAGGGGAAAGACTCGCACACCTCCGGTATTAACCTAGTTTCGCAGGATGGTAGATTATAGCTCCCCTGTTGCTATGTGTAAAATATTAGATGTAATGACTCTATAATTTCAGAAATATGTGTAATTAAAGTAACACACCCTGCGATATGCTACGAATATCAATCTGTGTCATCGAAGTGGTTATGATGGATTGAGATGTATCATAAGTTTGGATACAATTATATTTTATTTCATCTAATCGGTCATCAATCAACCTCTTACGAATCAACTACACCTGGAATTTGAATGTAATACGTATGAGAAAAAAAAATGCTCACGCGGTTCACTATCACCCTGACGAGAGGCGTATATGCTCATCTGTTTAATCGGGTGTAATGCATGGGACATAACAGGATTGCAGGCAGTTCGATTTATCGTTCTCGCTCTTCATTCTCACCCCCTGACAGAGACTAGAAGTGATCGATAAAATACAATTCGTATGAGCAATTGCAACCAAGTGCTATTGATTTCAAATGGGTACTCGAGATATCCGGGTGTCCGAATGCCCGTGAGATAATACCAGAAAACAAAGACTTCCTGGACACGCTGTATAGTTAGGAGCTCGAGTGAACTGTCCCGAGGGGTACCGCGAGATAATGGCGAACGCTTCTCGACTCCGTTCGAGGACTTCTATGCTTGGATCCTTTCTAGTTTCGTTGGGATTTTCGACGAAATTCTAAAACATTCATACTTCGTACTGACCACTTTTATATTGGTAACATAACGTTCCTTAGTCATAACGTTAGAATGTCATAACGTCAACTAAGTAGTGAGATGCATCAGACATATTTGAATAGTCTAGTAGTTGAATGTTTTATACAGATTCGAATAATATGATATGTTTGATAGACATAATTTACTATTTAAGTAATTCACTTCTTGAATATTTTATAGATATTTAAATAGCATTTGAATATTTAATTCTCAATTATACCAACCAAGCTTCGCATAAAGCATCCCGACCTTAAATAAATGTATCAGAGCTGAACCCAGATAGATGTAGCCTGAATGATTGCATGGGAATTTAATTCGATACATTGTATTGACAAATGGAAGGGTTGATCACTTAGCAACGAGCGAAGTTGGAGGCGGAAGCAACAGATACTTAACGGAGATAAACTGTGTAAGCGATGGAATCACTTGCGGGAATGTTCAGTCCCGTTTTCCTGCAATTATCGAGGTTCTGCTGTATTCGTGATATGTAGGTTGCGACTGAACTGTGCGCACAAACTCTGGAGATTGATAAATCTCGCTGGAAGGAACGAAAATGTCGCGACCCCTTCTCTCCCAACGTATTCGTGTGGCTAAACATTCAGAATTGTCGAATTAATTATGTTCCAACTACAGTACAGTAAAATAAAATATACAAGCTAAATTAAATGTACCCAAAACGGCCAAAGACTCTTGCACAGTACTACATGTCGAACTACTTACGATATTTAACTATTGTTTACAACATTCAGTATTTCACCACGCAGAAAATTTCGTGTACTCTCGCGTAGAAAAGAATTATAGTTGGCCCGAGTTTCTGGAGTCACTTTGTATATTATGAAAATAGTTCTGGCCCCGCGAAGCTTTAGTGTTTCAAAGCCCCGCAGTGCAAACTTTGGGAAACGTTGCTGTGTACCACACAACAACAAAACGAAAACTGTAGGAACATTAAATCAGGCTTTGTGCAGGAATGGTACGCTCAAACGTATAAAGCCTGGAAAATTTCTAACACACGGAAAACTACGTGTATTATACTGTGCAGAGTGTTTTTAGTACCAAACGAGTGACCTTTTAAAGCATATTTTACTCGGTTGCGAGGGCGAAGAAAAGTTACGTAAATATAGATCTGCAAAGATATATTTTCGCGGATATGAACGCGTCTTTATTAAGACCGATGTATTTAAAAGTATTTTTCTGAAGAATATATATTCAACACTCCACCCTCCTCGAAGACTATAGCACTTTCAAACCACAGCCAAACATAAAACGATCGTTCAAAATGCATTCGCTCAACCAGAGAATGCCCCCTAGCACTATTACTTCAAATCCCTTCAATATCTGCCTTCAAAAACTGCAATTCCCTCCGAATCTCAACCAAAACCAAAACCGCCCCATTCGCCAAAAACTACCCCTGGTGGCCCCAGCAGTCCCGATATCCCCCGAGCAGCGTTGTTCCCAGAATTCCGAACTCGTTCCAGTTCCTTTCCGACAATCGCGCGCGAACAGACGGACGGGTCCATGAGGAACGTCGCGGAAAAGCACATCGGGCCGTAGGCTCGGCCGCGGAGGCACGGTTAGGCGCGCGGCGCAGAGCCTGTATCCGTGGTGGATTTCCTCGAGTGGAGGCAAAGTTTGATTTTGTGGAGGGCGCACGCCCCGCTCCCAGCTGCACAACCGACTGGTCTTTAAGCAGTCACGAACGAGCCTTCGTTCGTCGCAGCCGCAGGAGACGCGATTCCTCTTCGTCGTCCTCCTCTCGTTCCCGTCAGACGAAATCCAGGCTACGAGGCACCATTTCCCACCGAGTTACGCGCGCGCGTGTGTGTGTTTCCATCGCTAATTCAGTGCCAGTGACTGTTGCACCTGTCCGTGGGCACCGTGGGCACCCTGGACGCGATCCCTCGGGGAGTGGAGAACCTGGGCCTGGCTCAAGTAAGTCGAGAGTACTCCCTTCCTCAACGATGCCTTTGACGACGATCTTCGCAGGGCTTGGTAGACTGGGAAGAAGCTTGCGAGGACACGCCAGGATTCTTTATTAGGGACAGTGGACCTTGAGTTAAAGTACGTGGTAGATGGAATATATTCCTGTCCTCTGTTGTCTGATTCCGAGTGGAGTGTCTGTCTTTGAGCTAAGATAAATGATGAGTTCGAATATTCCTGTCTTCCTTGCTCTACGAACTAGACATTAGAACGTCTAGTTTCAACTCGAGTGTCTGCTCTTCAATTAAAATAAATGAATATTTGTATCTTCCTTGGTTTAATATCTGATTCGAAGTAAACTGCTTGCTCTTGAATTAAACCATACGACAGGTGGAATATTTCTATTTTCCGCTCGCTCGGCTGTCTACTCCGGGTGTAGTGTCAATTTATGATAAACGAAGGAATACTTGTATCTTCCTTCCTCTGATGTCTAATTCCGAATGAAGTGTTTGTTCTTGAATTAAAACACACGATAATCGAAATATTTTTATTCTCCTCCCTCTGTCTCGTACAAAACGATAGGCAACATCGTTGAATTAGTCCATCCCTGGTGACCAAAGACCTTTAGAGATTGAGCATTACCAGTCCGAGACACGGCTTTACAAGAGGTCTCGACGAGCCTACTTAATAATTAATTGTTGCGACCTTATGGGGATCGTGTAATTCTAATTTCCTTTTGAGGACTCGAGCATGGAACCCAAAACGTTGGTAATTGCTTTTCAGAACCATGGAAAAGTTTTCTGGGATACTTTACGATTAGAAATACTGAGATTGGATTGAATTAGAATTAGAATTAGTACTCTATATCTAAGGAACAGATTGATAAGGAAGCTGCAGTTCAAAGATACTCGATAGGGTTTAACGAAGGATATTCAACGACGACAGATGAGTTCCTCTTCCGAGGAAGTTTGAATTGCACAATTCGCAGTGCTGATGATCAATGGAATTCGTACGAGTGTGTTGTACGCGGTGCAAAAAGATGTTGCCTTGTTGGGTTGGATATGTTTCATATAGTAAGCAGTACCTGTAAGCTGTCAGTGGTGTTGCTAAGCGCGCATTTTATTGGCCCGTGCAACATGTACCCCTTTGAGTTGCGTATCATTGAAAAATGCGCGAGTAGTCGCGTTGCACGAGGTCATTATTTCCTGCCTTTGGCTGATTATGCGTGCAACAACACGAGTTCGCGGCAGACTAGTGGAGAAAAGTCGAATTAGAATAGAGCTTAAGCAATCAAGCATTCGTACCACGTATGAATTTAAACACATATTGCTATTAAATGTTAAAAGCCGCAGCTGCAGTTATGGTTTAATTTTATTTCAACGATTGAGTACCTAGACAGGTTGATTTACCGGTTTGCTCGTACTGAAAACTCTGAAACCACGTAATAGCTCGCTCTCCGGGAATTTTAATACGCGGGAAAACTAATTTTGCGAACCGGTGGCAATGCATACGTTTCCGTTTCGTTCGTTCGTTAATTAGATAAGGTGGTTAAGCATCGGGAACGTTAGAGGGAAGGTAATAACAAAGTTTACACCGTTTGAAATTTATCGCCAACCGTAAAAACGTGAAAGCGGACACGCGAATGGCTTTGTTGCGTTTTAGGTATAATGGATTGCATCGATAATAAACAACGCCATCAGAGAGTTCAGGACTCTCGGGTCAAATAGTAATATTCAAATAATATTCAAATAAAGACGGGTTAAGAAATTAATATTCTCGGAATTATAGACAATGATCAGTTTCTTATATGAAAATGTTTAATATAATTATAATAATTTTTTAACCCATGTTTATCAGAATTTCTTTCTACATTTGTCTTGAATGTTCTGAACCATCTATTTTACCACCCTGTTTATTTGTAATTTCTTCCATTTCGCTCTTTCATAATATTTGTGCTAATGCTCAATGGGCTTGGGCTGACGAGTATTTATTGACCACTCGACTCGAAATGTTCATCAGTCTTGCCATAGTAGTTGATGACACATGCCATTTCCTAGTATCATGATTCATGTCCAGTTAATTACACATTGCTCCTGCCATTGGGGTAATAAGCTTCTTGCCTGGGTGACCATAATATTATTACCCGCAACGACAATATAAAAACACAGTGTGACTTTAACAGAATTCCTAACAAATAGAATTTCGTGTAATAATTTCATTAAGTAATCGAATTGACGATATTAATCTGTCAAGGTCTGAAATTCTAAAGGAACAGCTATCCGATAGATTAATTCATAATAAATTGACCTACGTATTGGAAGCTACCGCTCGGAGATCGTCAAAATTGATCCGAGTGGTAATTCTACGTGAGAGACCAATTTCTATGCAATTAACAATCTGACCAATGGGAACTGCATCCTTTTCAGGGCCATTCTTGCCAACTCCACACTATAGGTGTCCTAGATTTAACGTAATATCTCTGATCTCAGTCGTTTGAGACTGATGAGTCTTCAGCTTGCATTTGACTCGAAACATTCATCAAACGCACCCAGCTGATGACATATGCCACTACCTAGTATCGTGATTAACGTCAGTTAATTACTCCTGCCATCGAGGTTATAAGCTTCTTGACTGGATGATCGTATCGCCACCTACGACGATGATACAAAAGCGCAGTGTGACCTTATCGAAACTCCATCTTGTTTGTAGGGCTAGAGAAGATCATTTAATTAATATTAATTAATTGAATTGGTAACAGTAATTTGTCGAGGTACGTTTCCTTGGAACCCCTGACATTTTTAGAGATCACTTGCTGATACCTAAAGAATCGAAGATACTGCACTGAAATACATAGTAATCGGTATGAAATGTAACAGAAATAAAAAAAAAAAAAAAAAACTGATTACATACGTATTCGTTATAATGGGAAATTAGCTATTGTTTGTCTTCTGTGTATTGTAAAGTCAGGGCCACCGTGTTTCGCAAGCTTTACACGCCCTTCGTTACGCCACTGATTTTATAATTCAACCCGTGCACAATGAGCCAGGGAGACCCTCCCGATATCGATTACAAGTTTTCCGTATATTACCAGCAAGGTAAACGATGCACGCGTAAAAACGGACCCTTCAACAGACATAATAGAATCATTACTCAAACAATGATCAAGACTTTTCTCTGGCGTTTGTTTCGCTTTTAAATGAAACGTGAGTCACGCGAAGCTCTTTGCAACCTGTTTTTTTTTTCGTGTGCCTATTAGGAACAACGACAAAATTCTTTTGTGATATTTTAAACGTCACTGGAGTCTTTTACGCGACACTGTATACCTTGCTTTCAAGTGACAATTCTTACACCGGATCCCAGCGACGGAATCATCACCCCCACCACTGTTTATGTTTATTCAGAGTGTGCCAAAACGACGGCCCGAGCAACGGCCGCGGGCGACAGCGATCCTTTTCGCACGTGGAATCAAACTTCTTCCCCCGTTGTGAAAATTAAAATTTGTATAATTTTTTCTTTATACATTCATAAAAGTATTATAAATGGATCGATCAAGTTTTCTCTATGAAAATGAGTCTAAACACGACCATATTTGGATCACTTTTTATTTAACGTAGTTTACAATTTTTTAAAAATATTTTGGATAACATGTAATTAAAAATTATCCGAAATAGGTCGTGTTTGAACTCGTTTTCATTGGAAGAATCTCGTTGAAAAAAATATCAAAACCTTAATTTTTATCGCGTAATTTGATTTGGATTGTTTGACGGAGATTAATCACCCCACTAAAAGATGCTAATGAACTCGATCACAAGTGGTATGCATACATACCGATATAAAAGAGTAATCCGTGAATGGAAAACACGCAACTGATATTGCAATAACACTTCACTAACACACTTCGCTTGGTGTTCGATTCTAATCTCAATGCAGGAGCAACTAGTGGCGAGAAATATTTTTCAAGACAGCGCCTCTCACTCTGCTTGTTGAAGTGACACTGACTGCTTGAAATTTCGGAACGACCTTTGGAGGGGAAGTAATTCAGTAAAGGGAAGGGGCCTAGTACCTCGTACAAATTTACGGTTCGAACTTCTGGCCTGTGGTACACAAATGTGTAAAGATTAGTGTGAAGATTATTTAAAAAACAGGATCGTTGCGTAAAATGTTTAGAAACTAACCGATCCACGTAATTGAATCCAATTCATGTTCGGGATTAAGCTCGGCTTTAATGCAACAAAGTGACTAATCCTTGTAATTTTCGCGTGACGGGAAAGTGTACCCGAAATCCACTTTCATGGTCTAACGCTTTTAAATATTGTTCATTCCTATTTCAATGTTCATCGTTCTGACTATATATTACCTGACTGACCACAGTTCATCGACTATATAGTACCTGAATTTTTGTAAGTATATTACTCTGATAATGCTCGAATTATTAATAATATTCTGGGGCTGGATAGAAAATGTCCTAGTAAATGATGAGCATGATGAAATGATATCTCTCTAGTAATTAAAAAGGCATAGGTTGATGGATGATACTGATTGTATGGCTACTATGTGTGCTATACGCACTTGTATATGCCGTGTAGAATATAACTAGGACCGGAACTACTTATCGAACTTTGCGTGTATTCGAATACTGATACTTGACTAACGAAATATTCGAACAGATATACGTTTTAAAACAATGAAAAAGAGGACATCGAAGATATAGTAACTAAATGTCGCGAATGAAGTCAGACACAACGTTGCAATGACAACAGAAATTTCTTTCTTTTTCCTGTACTATACCGATAGGTGGAGATAATGAATAGAATTTTAAAAAAAGGCTTACCCGGTTCTTGTATGCAGCCCTTGATTGTCAACAGCCCGATATCCATCGAGGGTCGTTCTATCCGGTCTATCGATTTTTCCTGAAATCCGTTGTTGACCTTAATAGCTGGCTGTCGACGCTATTTCATCCCAGCTCGCCTTTGAACGGCCAGGATTTCTTTAAACGCGTTGGTCACGAACATTTTTCATAAGGAAAGTAGTCCCCACGATTTATTCAACATGCTGACCATCGAAACGCATATTTTGTCTGTTACTTGGATATTTTTTGTAACCAAATTTGACTTGGGAGAAATAATCAAAAATTAAGATTCGAAGGTCCATTCTAACCGAAGCTTGTTTTAGACGCCGCTGATGCTACTCAAATATTCGAATACTGATACTTGACAAGCCTACAATAAGAACGAATCCTTATTTCTAATTTAACCATAATATTTTACAAAACATATCGGGGTACTATATTTTTAGAATTCGAGGAATTTTCAGATCTACTTTTGCCTTAAGGTCGCACAACGTAATGCAATAATCGGTTTTAATAATTTAGCGGAAAAGTCAAGAAATAAATCCAGAAGTCTATTCGCGGTCGAAATAATTGCTTATTATATTCTGATGATTTCGTTCCTGGGAAAATGGAAGCCAACGAAGGTCTTCGTTAATTGGTTGTGCTCCGCTCTGGGATGCCATTAGAAATTGTCACGCTATCTTGCGTCGAATTAATTACGATAAACACAATTAAGGATAGGTGTAATTGATTGCTCGGGCAAACGATGAGGACGCGAACCTGGTAAAGAGAATGGAGTAGAAATGCTGAAAAAGAGAAGAAATAAATACCACATAACAAAAAATTTAATAACAAACTTTTATAATTAATTTTGTTACATTAATATAAATTTCGTCTCTTATGTTCATATAAAATTGCAGTGCACACGGAATATTTAACGAAAAGATTGTCTCAATCCTGAGAAAGCTTCGCAAAGCTGGTCTTTAATAAATTAAGATCGTTCCAATCGCCTCCGTCGGTGAGATTCGCGGAAAAATCATTTATTTGAAATCTATTCGAAGAATTTTGTGAATCGATGGATTAATAAACGTGGCATGTCTTCGTGAAACGGTTTAGTGGAGTTGAACGATAAACAGTTTAATTTTGAAATCAGCTTGAGGATAGACACATTGATCAAAGGAAGCAGAGCTTTGCGAGGGAGTGTGAACGTAATCGAAAAGGGGATCAAGAACGTACACAAATTCATGCTTAATCTCAAGGCATACATTGACGCGAGCGTTAAAACTCCCAACGTAATCTTGAGAAATCTCAAGGCGATTCGAATTATCACCAGTTGAACGCGACTCTTCTGGGAAAACCTGATGCTTTCAATAAATAAACAATTACATCGACAACAGCTAAATATGCTATTAACCTTATAAGGAATAACGGTAAATTATGTTATGCTATCGACATAAGAACAAAGACCCTACAACTTTCGATAATTATTGATTATCCTTTGTAAGAATGGAAGCTTCCTCCTTTACGAACATTGAAAGGTTCGTTTACCTTAAAAATGAAATCATACTCGAGGCTTGGAGCTACACTATCCGTTGGGGTGTGTAAGGGACGCCAATTTGTAACGCCATAAGTCGCGAAACGACCTGAACTCGTCCATACGTCGTCCCCCGCGTTGGGAGCCAATTTGTAAAACGCTCGTTCAATAGTTAGGCGTAGGTTCAGCAGTAAAAGAACGACGGCCATCCTGCTGCGATCAGGAGCTCATTTTCTGCGCTAAGCGTTTCAGCACTTCGTGAGACGCATTGGATTGCCTCTACTCGGATGCTACCTGATAGTAACCCTCTGCGTTAGATCAAGTAGCTTTAGGAGAGCTTACCTTAGGCTCGTGGAAGCTAATGCTGATAATTTAGGTAACGGATCGATGATAATATTCAGCATTCCGAAAAATACTCGCAATTGTTAGATTTGGCGAACAAGTACATCTGTATTTGTTATGCCATTCTCAACATCATCCTTCCCCCCTCTGAAAAATGGTCGTCTTGGGTTAGGTCTGACCAGTATCTCATCATTCATCCACTTTTTTCATCATTCTTTCACTTTTCATACCATTTCCTCTCGTCTTTCGAACCTTCTGGCTTCAGAAATCTTCATGGTTGACCCATTTCCCCCGTCAGCAATGGAAATCCTCTTGGGTAGTCGATGGTCGAACACAATTGAGACTCATCTCTGAAGTCCGTTGCACGTAGTCAGTCTTTCATAGGGCGAGAAGAAACAAAACAAGAAACACCGAGAAGCATTTCCGAGGAATCCGACTTTTTCCAATGCTGGAGGGCACAATGGGGAGAACACATAGCCCACAAGAGGAGAATCAACCTGGACCTTGCGCACTTGTTTCTTCTCTAGTGTCCTCATTCTCGCTGAGGAACTGTACGGCCTTCATACTTAGCTAAACGGTTTAAGTGAACTACCTTAACCCTTTGTGTTCCACGAGGGGTCAGACATTTTGTTCCAGTAGCCCGGAGCTGTCAACCCTTCATTTGCCGATGCAGGTTCTGGTTCGCTCTACGTGTACCTAGTAAACAAGTAACTATGGAGAAATATGTTTCTTCAGGCTTTACTATTAATAATTCAGATCCCAGTTGACGTTTGATTGAGTGGACGATTGATCCCTTATGTCGTATATCTGCAACCTGAATGCTTTTTGGCACTACGATCCAGAATCTCCAGAATCCGAAAGAATAGAAATAAACAATGTAGTACACTATGAATAAATCTCATCGTAGCTTAGAGAGTTCGTAGCACCATCCACGCTTTTCCAAGTTTGGTAGAAAACCTCTGTCACCATCAATTGGTCTCAATTCTCTTCCATAAAGCATCATCGCAGCCAGGTTGCTTGATAGTGTCGTGCTCCAATGAACGATACGCCAAAAGGAAAAATTGCATCCTTTCATCCCCAGTCTTTTTGATCTCTCTGGAAATGAAAATTGACAAAGACTGTATTATAGCGCGATTCAATCTCTCGAATAATCCGTCCGACTGCGGATGAAGTGGAGCCCGTTTTTCTCTTCCCGATTCCTAAAACCAGGGGTGCGCAACTTTAACGTCGCGCAGAGCGCACAACCATAGGCATAGTCATGGCAGACGTTCAGTTCTTTCACACTGACTCAAATAACGAATTAAAAATTTGTCACGAAACAAAAGGACAATATTTTGTTGTTATTAAGGGACAGTCGAATCTAGAAACGATAAAGAATGGAGGTGACATCGCCGATAATATTTTTCGGTACAGGATGTTAATAGCAGGAAAGGCAACCGAACGACGTCGTTCAGAACGCCAAGCAATAATCAGTTTATATCCCGAATCAGCGTGTCACTGTATTCGTGTCCAGCAGTAAATTCGCGTGACAGCGCCACGTTTCGCTTAATCGTAACCTAATTGAGGAAGGCAGTACAAGTAGCGGTATTACTCGGTAGCGAAAACTTAAATAGTGGGATGAACGTGATCAATGAACGTGTTGGTAACCGACATAAAACATAATATCGTCAAGACGATGTCTAAAATTTAGTATCGTCCCTAATTTATTATTGCCTCTAAGATCCGGACGAACGTTTCCTTGTTATCAAAATTGACGTAATTCGTAGAAAAATTTCCAGGATCTACCGTCGAAAGGCGGCGCAAAGAAGCCAGAAATGGCGAATATAAAGTGGCGACGGGAAAAAATGTACAATCTAAGAAGCGAGGAAAGAGTGAAAACCGTCGAGAAAATGGCATTACATGCCACCGAGGGAAGAAAATGCGTTCATCGCATGAAATATCACAGAAAAAGAAAATGGGTTAAATCGAGTAGCGGGCAAACAGGAAGCGTGAGTGAAATGCAGTAGGCCGAGAGGAAAATGGCGCACAAGAAGACCCCAGGGAAGGATAGATAAAGAAGCGCTTGAGACGCGATATAGGATTATTAGAGCAGAAAAGGTGCGTATGAAAATGCGCAGGAACGGAAAGAAAAACAAAGGATTAAATGATAAAAGCAACAGGGGATAAACATAATGATACACGACATTTTAAATAGAATTAAGTCTCCCTGCGATAAAGTTCGAATGTTACGTCCGCCATATACGGAAACCTTGTTGGCGTGTTTGTTAAGGGTACACAATGGTTGCACTTAGACGTTTCTCGCGTGAGATGGGATTGAAACGGGGGTGGATTTGTTAGAGTAATTTAACATTCGAATATTTGATGGATAATCGAATAATGAAATATATCTTAAGGTTATATTTTAAATATTTGAATAGTATAAATGAGTTTCTATTAATTGTATATCATTATTCGAAAAGAATTATTCGAACAACGATGTTCACACACTTCAGGTGTATCTTCATTCCTCAAACATCCTAAAGTATATACTGAACAGCATCGTGAAAGTATCGGGTACTCTATTATCAGAAAATTTCCTTTAACCGAACGGTTATGTCTATCCGTTACCTCGAATAATGGATATTATTTATTACTGTCCAACGGAAGGTCATTCAAGGTCGTAAAGGGTGGTAACGCAACACTCGTGACATTATCAAAGATGTTCAAAGTGACGACCATTCGTTTCGATGGAATCGTTTCTGGATTCGTTCCAGCTCACTTTGCTATGATCCCCTGCCTCGTGTGCATCTCTGTAATCGGTCTCTCTTGGTGCACGATATTCTTTAACACTCTCTAGCGGAAACAATCGAGCGGTGTTAAGTGCACACTGTACAACGTCAGCGAATCAACTGGCCACGAAATTGCCCGGCACGTTTTATTCGTCGTTTCTGGAACATCGACACGAACGAATTAATAGAATCGCTAGTGGTACCGAGAAAATTTTTAATTCTACATTTATTAACGACTGTTTGTTATTTATATTAATTTCTTCGCAAATAAAGACTTTATCCAAGGGAATACTCTTCTATTTTTTGTACAAGCAAACTACGCAGGATCTCATTCAAAAAAAATATCTAAAACACCTTGATACAAGGATATTCGTGCTCCGATGACAGTGACGAGTCAAAATACGCGCATATATTCGTCAGTAATCCAAATGGGTTAAAAAGCACCGAACGTAATCTCAAAATTTCGCCGACAGCTCCAACCGAGCACTGAAATTCCGCTGGCGTATCCTGTCCATCGCTCGATTCAACGCAATTTCTGTCAACGACGCTTTTCAGTTGACGAAAATTAGCGGAAATATTTCTGGTGGTCGTTGCCCCACCCTGGGTACGCAACGGTTACAATCTAAAGCGGGTAATAGGGGGTGAGATGAGGAAGGATGCTGGTAGGGGAGAGCAACAGAAAAATAGAGACCAGTGTGGGGGGATAGAACCGGAGGGAAAATAGCACGATGTGCAACGGAGATACAGAGATGCCGGCGAGCAAGGGAGGAGAGACAGAGGAGAAGGGGCAGGGAAGTACGATCTGGGGGTGGCTGGTTGTGCTGGTTGCTGCATCGATCGTCCCTAGTGCGCTGTAGAGCTATCCTTGTGCGAACGATGCGACCACCGTTCCTAAAAAATATTATAAGTCCCTGTAACGAGTCGTTAACTGAGATATCGATCTTTCATTTTTTCCCATTCGCCTATCAAAATGGGCTCGTGCTCATCTGCGACACCTGAAACAATGGAAACATGTTAATAGGGGGTGAATAAACACAGCAGAAATTCTAAGTCTTACTATAAAACATTTGCACAACGTTTAACGAAATAATAATTAAAAACTAAAATGCTGTTTCTATTTACTCAGAAAATTGAAGTGCGAAATTAGTTTCTGAACAAATCTATAAATAAGATGTTTTTGCACGCTTTTTTAGGGCTCCCTGTAGGTATGTACCACTATATCTGCCCTCAAAAATTATGAAACGAAGTAATTTTAACGCATTCACGTATCAAAAATAATTGACATTGGTTGTTGGTTTGTTGATGGCGATAACAAGACACAAAGAAGCTCTATAACAAGATGCTCTATACGGAGAGGTTTATGATACGGTCCCATGGGTAGCGCCATTTTTTAGGGACATCAGCCAGGATTATCCATGGTCCATCGTCAGTCAACAGATTTCAACGAGGGTAGACCCCCCAGAAGTTTCTTCATTTTCCCTCAAATTTCCATGTTCCTGCTGGCCACGTGCACTTCCATCCTCTTGCCATCTAGTTTTCCGTAGCGACCAACGTATCATAAACTCATGGCGGTATGTTCGAAATGAGTAGTCTCGCTAAAACGTCCAACCATCTCAGCCATCATTTTCACTTAAATCGAAAATCTTTTTATTCCACTCAGAATAATAAAATCTAGATCCGTTGTAATCGAATAGTTCTGTGGAGCGATCTCCATAATTCTTTATTTATATTTCCTTTGACGTACGTTTTGCATGTTTCTCGCGCACTCAATGGGCACGGTTCTCAAGATAAAGGTCTGTTTGATGAGCATTCCTCGACCCAGGACCTCGAACTACTTTCGTTGCCCTCAAGAATCCTGACCGTGACCAAGCAATGAAATGATGTTGTTCCCCGTTCCCTATTGCATATTTCGAATTTTTTTATATAAATAGACGACATCGTTTCACTCCTCAGATACACAAAGAAATACAAAAAAAATTAAGCGACAAGACTTAATAAATTTGTCGTGTTTAACTTCCTTTTCCATTCTTACTGGTCTGAACTACTTTTTCCGCGTCAACTTTGCCCGTCGCCAAGGGAAATAAAACTATTCCATCGTTGGCTACGGGTAGCTATTGTTTTAAATAATGTAGCCCAGTGATTGGGTCTTTTGAAAGTCCTACTGTAATTCGCACTGCAGCGTAATCGCGCGCTGCTGCAAATTCCCTCTTTGTTTAAACTTTGCGAACGGAGGGAATAAAGTTATCGTTAATTATAAACGCGAGCCACGATTCGATGAATATTTAATAAAAGACGAATCGACATTATTTAGTCGTTGATATTGTTATTAAAATATAACGCACGCTAATATTCGCTACCAGTTGTCGGTGAGAAAATTACTGGGGCGCTCGTGTGAAAAATACGACAATGTTTTTAAATAATTTTCGTTACACTTCTCATTACAGAAGATATTATATTATTGTTTGTGTTGGAACTTTTCAATTTGCAGGAAAAATTCCAATCATCGTACCAAAAAAAATATTATATTATTTCTCTAAGGACATTTCATGACAGAAAAATATTTCAGTATTATTCGTTCCACTACTTTTTATTTGTGAAAAAGAAATTTCTTTTAATACTTTCTGACCTATTTTTGGAGTTACTTCGAATTAATGGGTTAAGTGGCTGGTCTCCTGTAAAAAAAAAAAAAGACGTTTTTCTTTTTCGTTTCAACAGGACCGTTTCATCGTCATGAATGATCGCTGAAAGTGACAGATAATCAAGGGAAGGTAAAAGAACCATCGCGCAGAATGTCGAGAATATTGGAGGGAGTGGATGAACGCCCCATGGACCCGGGGCTCAAACTCGGCACCACTTGAATGCGAAAGAAAAAGGTTGGTTCAAACTTGGGATGGAACTTTTAATATCGTTAAGTAACCGCGTAGAAACCTATATTAAAATCTCTCAGTTAGGGGGTGCTCGTGACGTGATCTTTCCACGAGACCACTCGGGGTTGCGAAGCTTAAGATCATCCTTCTCGCAAACCTAGGCAAATTGCTTCAAACTAAAGCCTCCTTCGGGTATTAATACCAAAGAAATGAATAAAATTTCAAACTCCTTCTTTTGCACGATGCTACATGGATCGAAAAGATTGTGAAAAATATTTGTTAGTAAAAAGAACATTGATTTAATAGCTTCATTCCTTCGTGAGATATTTAAACATTCCACTTTAAACATCCTGTATATATGTTTGAAGAATAGGAGAACCATTTTGAAAAAGTCCTATTTGGTTTGCTGTGCTTGCCGAGCACTTTTCTGATAAATAATTCATCTTCTGTTTCGAGAATCGACGGTGGCAAGATTGATAAGAACGTATTTGTTTTCAAGTACAAATGAGCAGGACGCGGGATGGGCAAATCTTGGCTCTTGGTCCTGTTTCCTGCGACGATGACGACAATGACAATGATGGCGTACTTCACCGTAACGACGGCTACTCCAACCTCGGTATCGTCCCTCTCTACAACCACCAACAATGATGTTCTCGATTCGAAGAGGGTAAACAGCCACCTTATATTATACTTGGTGTCAAATAAATATAGCGTGAGCAATAGCATATTATAAATATTTGCAAATAATGTTATATAATATTAATATTGAATTTATAAATTATGAGAATGCTACAATTGAAGTGTTAGGAGGGACACATTCTCGAAATGACAGTCATCAGTGTCACGGTATACACAAATATTAGCACAGGCAGGTTCTAATACGTTCGCTCGTGCTTCGGTGTTGTGGAAATATCGTTATAAACGGCTTCTTCAACAGCTCCCCACAGAAAAGGGTCTAATGGCGTTAGATCAGGCGAACGAGGAGACCGTCGAGTGTTTGCACTTCAGAGAGAAATGCGTGTACTGGCAACCCTAACTAGTCAATGTGCAAATAAACGTGCGAAGACGTCGATCCTAAAAGCAACAATCAATTAAACAATCAATTAAACAATTAATTTACGTTAATCAATGAACCATTATTCATCTATACTTGAAATTTGTTTAGACTTAGTTAAATAAAATATAGTGAGATCCGAAGTACATATTTCACGTTTTAATGTTAAAAATTCAAAGTTAATGCCAATGTCAAAATTAAGCAAAGTCTGATATCTTGATCTACGCTGCAACTGTTTGCTTGAATGGAACGTTCTGTTTCAAAGGAGGACATAGAAAAAGCTTTGGAGGTGATACAAGCGGCATCAACTGGATCATTGGGTGTATACTGTGCTGCGGTTGCTGGATTTAAGTCTTTGCCAGCTGGTGCAGCTCTTGATCCAAGACGCTACGACGCTGCACGCCAGAAAGCAGACATGACCGCCTTGATGCTTCAAAATTTTGGCACTGTTGGAGTAACGAGGCATAACGGTGAGTTGAAAGCAGATTTGGACAGTAATTACTTTGCAAGCTCTTTCTGATTACTTTAGAACTCCACCAAGACCAATTCTTCGTGACTATATGAATCGAAATGTTCTTTTCGCGTACTTTCAAGCTACCGTCAAGTGGATTCTATTTGTTACTCGATATTTCTATCCAGTTTATTTATATGCTGATAGTAATTACGCTCATTTTTATCTTGAGCAACTGTATCGCGAGCCAAACAATTTACATATCACGGTTCTTTCCAGCACCTGTTGCACGCAAATCTGTGCCATAGTTCTACTTTTTTTCTAATTTATTCAGGTCACCACGGCTTGCTATTAACTGGAATAAATATTAATTTTCAATGAACCGTTTTTAAAGTACCGAGATCTAAGTGTATTCCGTGCACAGAGTGTTTGAATACTTCGCAATAAACGAAATTGCGTTGAAAACATCGTGAATTCAACTTTATTTTCTTTTAATTGCAATAATCTAAAACGAAACATTAAATATATTACTTTCTTAATGCAAATAAAAAGTACGCTCTCAGATAAATCGTGCCTGTCACGAATCAGTCCCAATAGATCGATAAACGTTGAAAGAGCGTTCGGGGAGAGTAATACAGAAATACGGAAATTTTCTCCTCTTCCCATTCCGTCCATGATTTCTGGTATGTTTGCTTTGTCATTCGTTCTTTTTCCGTTCCCTCGGCCGTATTTACATTCGCATCAAAGGGTTTGTCCCGTCTAAATAAATCAGACGTAATCGAACAAAATCGAGTCAATTAAATCGTTGCCCGTAGCGAATGGCATAAGACTTCCGCGATTTTACAACCTGTTGTAAGATTACACCGCGCGTGTAACTCGCGCCGTGCCGTGTGCAAGAACGACGGTCTATGCGACCCGATAGCGTGCATATTCTCGTTACCATTTCAGCCGACGGAATTCGGTTAGGCGATGATATACCAGAGACCCTGTACAAATTGGACTGTTGACAATGCGGTTCGTCATCGCGCGCGGATTATTGGTAAAATCGATTTTACGTCTGCCCCGTGGATTATCGCGGAACGAGAATTCGACAACTTCGATAGAGTTCTGCTATTTCGGGACACTATTTACCATTCGCCGCGACGGCTTTCGGATGACAGAGATTTCTCAGATTCTCAGAGGGAGGAGTTGTCGAACAAACGAACGGAATGACAAGCTCCCTTGGAACATTCTATTTCTACTTTGTTCTTTATTTAGAACTGAGCGGACATTGGAAATTTTTTACGGGGACTATTGTTAGTGCCATTTTCAAGGGACATGTATTTAAAAGATACTCTGCGCGACACTGTGAGATGGACAGAGATTTTCTGAGATTCTCTGGAGAGGAGTTATCGAACAAACTAATGAAACGAGAATCTGTAGTACCGAATCGCTCTAGAAATAGTGTTGCCGAGAGCAATACTGTTCGATTGCTTCGGGAGCAGTACATAACAGGAGCATACGTCATTATTAATTTAATTTTTAATTGTACTAATCGTACGTTAATACCTGATTAAAACTCGACGAGAAAGAATTATGTCGTCGATAGAGGTGTCTAACTTTTCAAGATACAATTTCTTCCTCGCTAGACTGTTTGCAACTATGCTTGGGAACAAGCTGCAGCTTGTCCCAGTTTCTGAAATCACTCTGTACGCTATGAACATCAATCTCTGTCACTGAAGTGGTCGTGGAGCATATGGTATTAACGGACGGTTCGTGTGCTTCGGTGATATTCGTGTACATATTACAAGACGTGTAACTTTGAGTACTGGTATGTCTGATATTATCGAGTCATCGCAAATGTTTGTTCTTTTTGAGGAAGTGGTCTATCAGAGTGGCGGCAGCGTTCATTTCGATAGAATAAAACTCCGGAAAACAAGCGCTCGCTTTCCATGGGAAAATCCCACACTGACGCTTAAAACAATATTGATTTTACAGAAATTCAATGCTGTTGTTTCCAACAACACTGCTCCTGGGTCAATTTAACAGTATTTCTCAAGACAATACTATGGTTGGTCAGTGTTGGAGTTATTTAACAATATTGCTCCATCAAGCCAACAGTATCACTCCAACAGAAACGAATACTATCGCTCCAAGAAATACTGTTTGTCGATTCTAGAGCAATGTTGTTACATCGATATTGATCGGTACTCGAGTAATTCCACAATATTGCTCCAGAATCGAATAACAATGCTACCATACCCATCCAAAAACACCTATCAGCCTTTCATTGATCCTTTCGACACGTTCGAACGTCCGTTCGAACAGTGCTTTTAGATGTTGTAGCAAAATCGCTGTTGGTATCTGTGAACGACGCGGTGGAGACGCGTGTGATCGCTCTAAACGTGTCCACTGGGACCGTGATCAACGCGGTTTGGTTGGAAAGGAGTCCAGGAAGCGTCGGTGAACCATCAAAGGTTGAGAGCCACGCACTCCAGCCAGGATCCACACCGGATCCAAATTTACCGTGGTTCGAGGATGCGGGCGCCACCACAGGGTTAAGGTTCGATTAATCTGTCACGTCGTTCTCGACATCCGATGCACCTCAGTCTGTTCGACGCACCATTTCTCACGAAATTCTGCATGCACCGGTTGTTTCGAGTTACTTCTATGGAGTAACACCTTGTCAGTAACGTCACCAGGGTAGTACTGGTGCTTTCGACTGAAAAACTATGAGTTGTGCAATAACGAATGATTTTATATTTAACGATACGTGTTTTGTAAGGTAAAAGTAATTTTGTTTGTGTGTGTATTGTGAAATACAAATCATTCGTTATTGCACAACTTATGGTATTTCTTTTCTGAATTCTCAAAAAATCCTTAAGGTTAAAGATTCAATTTTCAATGTTATCATTTCAGGCTGCATAATATTTTATCACTATCTATGTGTATTGACAAACAATGTATACTATCGGTCGAAAAGCAATAATCATTACCATGTCAGGTGTTCGAGTTGGCAAACATTAATTTTGCAATATCGTATCCCTGGCCTGGAATAAAACTGCATTGATTCAGCATTTAAAAATATACAATATCGTAAAATACGATATCGGAACATTAATAATAACTATTCCAGAAATATGAGTCAACGGTTTATCCAGAAATTAACACGTCCACGTGTTAGATGCGTTCAACTAACGGATACAGTAAATATTGAACAGCCATTTTGTATGCACGCGTAAACAGATTGCCACAAGTTTAATCCCATTATGTCCGTCATGAAAAGTTACTGCAAACCAGGCCTCACGCTTTTGATCGATGGTATATTTATTAATAAATTCGCACATTGCTTTTTAAACGACGACTACCTGTACGCACGCATACGTACTATAGTCAGATCGAAATCAATTGACCCCCCAGAGCAGTGGTTCTCAAACTGTACACAAATATTATTTATCAACTATTTATATTAGTCATATACTTGAGTAAATATTATTTTTCTAATTAAACTTATGAATTCATTTTTAGTAAATTAAATATAAAATATTTCGATTTTTTCAAAATTTAGAAATGATTCTGAGTCAAGGTTAGAAATGACACAAGAACATTTAGTTGAATTGATTGTTCATTCCGAATAGTGTTTCGTAATTTCATTTTTATTCGGTTAAGACAAATATTTAATTTTAAATTTTGAGGAGTACGGTACGAACAAGAAAGGTTGGGAACCCCTCCAAGGGAGGGTTATCCCCGCCCTTCTGACTCTCTACCAAGTTCCACTGCGCCATCTAGCAATTAATCGCACAAATCTCTATCGACGCGCCCCCTGTCTGTCAACCACGCAAGTTAACAATCAGAACATGATCCTAGAGGGCGTGTTTGGCGTAATTTCAAGGAGGGGAGTGACCTTGTGGTCAACTAAATTCGATCCGACTACAGGAAATATTTTTCTTTTCTGCACATCGCCCTTCATACTTGATTTTTGTTTTTCCTTCGCGGTAAAATGAGAATTGTAAATAACATGGATAAGCTAATGAAATTATGGTTTATTAATTTCTAAATTATATGAATTATTATTGTATTTATGTCATTTTAATAAAACGAATCAATCGCGGTTTTTAGTTTAAAGAACGTGATATTTTCTTAATTTGCAATAAATTTCTACAAGAACATTTTTACCGGGAGGAGAGCATTTTATAGGCGCTCCACGATCATTCATCATCCTTCATCATCCCGTACGAGCGTCAAGTCATAGAAACTCGATACGCGAAAATGCAGAAGAACGGTACGCGATTTCAGGTTTTTGGCCCTGCGATTCAACGGAAAAGGTCGTGGTCATTCTGAATAAGATGTCGTCTGAATGCTTCGACGTTCGAAGATTTTAAATCAATTAATGTAATAATCAAAATGACTAATTATTTATTGTAAATCACGTTTACGAGCGATCGCAGATCGTATTAAACATAGCATTCGAGATAGTCGGTGATAGAGTATTTCACGGGAGTAGTATGAACATGATTTTCAGTTCGAAAGGGGACATAATAAACGCTTAAACAGACATCCGCGATAATCAATACGCTATCGGTGTACCCTTAGAAGCTTTTTACTATACGTATATGCGCGCATAACACGGGAATATTTATAGCGTGCATCGTAAAACTGACTGTCGAATAAAATGCAGAACAATTTATGCATTTTATAGTCCAGGCCACAAATATTTAAGATGCAAAACGTGCAGGGAAACTCGTGTCAAACTTTTCGAACGGTATTCATGAACCTTTTCATTGCCGCCCACGAGTATATTCGAACACAGAAGTCGATTTTTATCTAGCTACAAAATTTGAATAACGAATAAAAGATAAAAGCAGTACAAATTTCGCTTAGAAAGTAAAATCAAATTTCACTTTGAATGAAAAAAGTCAAATAAATGAGTTCTTTGTTAAAGTGTTACGATATTTTACGCGAAACAAATTCCCGAATATTGATGCATTCGGACGATAATTGAGAATGCGGTGGAAATTCGATTAATCTTCGTATCTCGAATGACCGTGAAGTGCCACAGGACCACGAAATTAAAGGAAAGGCAACTTATATTGATGGGGTCGTTGCACGAAACACGTATGCGACAAAAGGTCGAAGTTTCTATGGCGGTTTTGTGGCGTTTGCGTGTTATCCCAGGTCACCGAAATTCATCCAGTCACCGGCGATTGAATCCTACAGGGGTTGGTGGACCATCCCGTATTTCTCTTGCAAAAGTCATCGCTGGTTGATGTCCTACAGCGTTAACATACTACCAATGGACGCACGACACGGGTTTGTACTAATTCTCTTTATTATAAACCAAAATAGCATCCTGTTTCAACTTGTTCGTTATTTCACAAGAGTAGTACTCGTACTTATCAAAGTGATTTTAATTTCAAAGCATGAATATTCTTGTCAAGATCAATTTCTCGTGCAAAAAGAAATCGAAATGTCCTTTACCGTTAGATATTTGGTACCGCGTTGTATTACCTTTAGCCTAAGTTGAAATAAAGTTACAATGAATAATAATAAATTGCCTCTTGTTGAAGGATCCGAGAGTTTTTAAGCATGGATATCGACATAAGCGGGTTAGAAGTGAACCAGTGCGATGTATCATCGCAACATAATGACAATGAAGCGCTGAGCAATCAGATAGCTGTTTTTAGGGGAACTCACAAATGTCATAATGACACTACACAGGTAATTAATGCGCGGGATGTTCCTAAAATTAGAAGCTGAGTATAGCTCTTATCGTAGTCCTATCGTACTTATAGGAAGAAGTTGTTGTATTTTCCCTCGAATCAATTTTGTTCGAAGACGGGAACTAAAAATGGAATAACTTTACCTAGTGTTCTATAATTAATTTATAAATACTTATAGCAGCCAATCGATCGATCCTGATTTCTAACCTCCCTCAGTTTCACCCACGTACCCTGAAACGGTTAAAATGGTTTCGGTATGATTTTGGTGTGGTTTTCAGTGTGAATATCAAAGTCCATATAATGTCGGTGTCAGTGGTAGATGGGCAAGGGGTGCGTATGTATGTAAATGTCGAAAGGGCTATTACAGCACGAGTCAACATCGATCTGGATTCGATGGGATTCTCGTTGAAGGTCAGTGGAGGGCATTCTGCCATGGTGACGCGAACTCGTAGCAATTCCTAAATCACGCAGAATGTTCAACTTTCAGCCGCCTGGCGAGAGATGCTAGAAAATAAAAGCGATTCGTACACAAAGGTGTTTCGTTGCTTGCGTTGCGCACCTGGATGCGCCATGTGCAAAGGACCCGAGCCTTGCTTAGCCACCTACAACTGGCCATTTAGGTACGACTGAAATTGAGAAATATTTATTATTATCTGGCTCCAAAAGTTTCTTGTTCACAGTGAATCACCGGATTTAATTATAAGATATGAAATATCTAAAAAAAAAAGTTTACATTTATTTTTCTTAGCAGTATTGTTAAGTAAACGATTCTCGAATTCTAAAGAGAAAAGGCTAAAAGCATTTAGAAATAAAGTGGAAATCGAAAATCTTAAAAATTGTCAATTTGTTTAAAAATCTGTGTTTCCAGAATCACCCTTCTATCGTTTTCAATTTTCTGTGTGTTTGGTACCATCTTCCTCGTGGCCTATATGTATAAACACCGCAAGCTCAAAGTGTTCAAGGTCGCTTCGCCGATATTTCTATCCATCACGCTTTTAGGTTGTGCTATTATGTACCTCGAGGTACGTATAATATTTTCTTGCAATTCTCTCCACCACAAATAACAATATTACAACATCGTGATTATATACACGATATATATTGATGCAAACATACTGTTAACCAATCAGATGGCCGCCATATTTCCCGTCTTGGATATGTACTCCTGCGTCGCCACCAAGTGGACCAGACATCTTGGTTTCTGCATCTCCTACACGGCCCTGTTGATGAAAACGTGGCGGTTAGTAATATATATATATATACAGATTTATTCATAAATAACGATACTCATATCAGAATCTGAACTCTTAATCAACGTTTATTTCAATAAAATTTGATTTGAATAAATCTTTACTCAAACGTTCAATCCTCGAGAGATAAAATAAACTTAGATAATGTAACAAATCTCTAACCCTGACCTCTATTAACCCCGAAAGTTTGCACCCATACGAACGCGTTAGTGAGAAGTACCCGCACAAACCTAAAGTTCGGCTAATTTTTGTTTGCAGAGTTTCCCTCACGTATCGCGTCAAAAGCGCGCACAAGGTCAAACTGACGGACAAGCAGTTGCTACAATGGATGGTCCCGATACTGTTAGTGATGTTAATTTATCTTGGCACATGGACGCTAAGTGCACCGCCGTCAGCTGAAGTGATAGCGGACAACTATGGTCTCAAGTTCTATCAGTGTTCATTCAATTGGTGGGACCATAGTTTAGCAATCGGTAATATATTGCAGACTACAATTTAATATTAGCGAAATAAAAAAATAAACGATAGTCGTTAGAAACAGACCTCCCAGATAAACAAGTTAGAAGCCTGGTAGGCTTCGCACCTTCATAACGACATCCAGATTCTTGATTTAGAAATTTTCGCAAAAAACGTTGCTAAAATTACCTACTTTTTTTAAAGGAGAAATCCTGTTCCTCGCGTGGGGCATCAAAGTATGTTACAACGTTCGCAACGCAGAAAGTCTCTTCAACGAGGCCCGTTTGATAAGCTATGCAATTTACAACATAGCTGCTGTGAATATAACCATGATCGCCATTCAGTATGAGACTTTTCGTTTCTGATATATATATATATACTAGAGTCGTTACGAGATTGGAATTATAAACAATTCAATTTTCTTACAGCCTTTTCATTTTTCCTCACGCCGGACCGGATATCAAGTATCTGCTGGGGTTCCTGCGTACGCAACTTTCCACTTCTGTAACCGTCTTTCTCGTGTTCGGACCCAAGGTAATCCATATTACTTCAAGGGATTTTGTAGTGTAAAACTCTAAAACAAAAATGTTCATTTTTCAAGTATTTGTTACAATATTTGTAAGAAATGTTAGTAATTTGTTGGAATATTTATTACATTCTGTTCGATTTCAGGTGATTCGAGTTTTGCGAGGTCAGGGCGACCAATGGGATAGTCGTGCCAGGGCTCGTGGGATTACGGCGAGCTTCTCATTGAACGGAACTGGTCTGGTACCAGAGGAAACAACAGATTTGATTCAAGAAAACGAGGAACTGAAGGTGAATAAAAAAGTCTTCTCCATTTACCTGGTTTGCCCCTAAAATAAATAGTTACGATTAGTACAAGATAAAAATAGCTTAGACTCGGGACAAATTCATATCTACGGATGTGTTATGAAACATAGGAAGAGATCCAGAAGCTGGCAGCGCAAATTGAATTCATGAAAATCGTGCACATGGAGATGTATAATCGTCACATAAAACCGAAAGCTGGCGGATACTTTAGTACCCACGGCCATGGTCATGTTCATCCGTCCTCGGCACAGAGTCCCATCGCCAAGAGTTCGACGGCCAGTTTTATATTGAAAGTATGTACCTAAGTCGATCTATCGAACGGAGATCAGACCGCGAATACAGCGAAGACGAATTCAGACATGTATCTCGCTAACAGAGTCTATCTCGATTTTTCACTGTGTTCGCGGTCATCCCTGCGATGTAAGTTGACCACGCCGAGAACATATTGAAAAATACAGTCAAGTAAATTATTGAGCAGACAGCCGTGGAACGGGGGGCGAGTGCGGCCGCGGCTGCCGCGGTCGAGGATTCCACTTTCCCTTCTGGCAGCTTGCACAGAGCGCGCAGGATGGAAATTCTGAAGGAACGGAAAGCTGAGAGGGAGAGAGAACGAGAACGGGAAAGAGAAAAGGAGAGGGAGAAGGAGAAGGAGAAAGAAAAAGAGAAGCAGAAGGAGCAAGAGAAGGCGAAGGAACAAGAAAGGGTGAAAGAGCAGGAAAAGGCGAAAGAGCAAGAAAAGGTGAAAGATCAAGAGAATGCAAAAGAACAAGAAAAGACAAAAGATCAAGAGAAGGTGAAGGAACAACAGAAGGTGAAAGATCAAGAGAAGGTGAAGGAACAACAGAATGAAAAGCAGACAGAGATGGCTAATGAGAGGAAGGAGAAACAGTCAGAAAATGAAAAAGACAAGGAGGTGGAAAAGCAAGAGAAAACACAACAGAAGAACGCAGAACCAAGCGTCTGACTAGTGCTACATAGTGATGAGGTGAGTCGTTTAGTTATTAATTGGTAAATATTTAAAAAAGATGTATAATAATAATATTTTCCTTATTATCATTCACAGATATGGTTGTGACGAATGCAGTACACCGAGGAGAACGGCAAAAAGCGTGCGCGTGCAAACCGTGGAAATAAAAAGCAGAAAAAGAGAAGTAAACTTAAATGGTATCCTTTCGTAGATACGGATGAATTCAATCAGTAAATAATAAATAATAAATCACTGCGATCGCATAAATTCATTTGTGGTAGCAACTTGTCCTCGTAGCTTTACCAGAAACCATTTCTGTTACCATCGAGTGATGCACGAATCAACAATGAAAATGTATCATTACATTTAGCGATAAAGAGAAACATTGTTCACGATTCAGTTAGGGAAACGAGATGTTTGTTATTAATTCGTACGCATGTCGTAACGATAAAAATTTACTTTCGTAAGAATTACACCGAGATGTTTGTCAAGACGAGATAAGGAAGATCGTACTTACTAGCTAGTGAAGTTATCATTCCGGCGATTAACGTCCATAAAAATCGTATATTAGATATCATTTATCATTCGAGGACTTCAGTGATTCGAATATTCGATCAAAATAATTCGAATACCATCCGAATACCTGACTGTTCCAGTACTGGGGTGCTCGAAACTCGACTACTCGACTACTTAAGTACTCGAACAACTTACTACTCTAACAATACTCGAATACATGAGTAATCGAATCCTTCGCTATACCAATATTATCGGGATACATGATTACGCGAATAATTGACTATGCCAACATTATTAGAATCGTCCCAGGAGTACCACAAACCAGCTTATTAATCATTGTTTCGCGAATCAATCACTCTGATATCTGGTTTTCCAAAGAACAATTAAACGACATAGAAGAAGGACTTCCTAAATGTAAATGTGACGTCGAATACGTTACAGTAAGTACTTTAACGACACGTGCCATTTTTTAATTTACTATGAGAAACAAAGATAGAGAAAATCAAAGGTTATAATACCAACTGTCATTCTTTTAGTGATGTTGATATATTAGTTGGTGAGATTCGTCGTCAAAGGCACGAATTGTGTGTTCATTTCTATCGAAGGTACGATTAGATAAACGTTTTTAAACCTATTTGTTACGAAATTTCTATCATCAATCATACAAAGCTTCTTGACATAAGTGTAAATACATTGTTGTCGGTGCATTGCACGGGAACCTCGAGGCTATGTAGGTGAGTTATTGTATTTTTTTGTAGTAGCTACAAAGAATTCGAATGTCAAATAAACGGAATATGTCAGCCACAGTTAAAATCAGTCTTCACTCGTGTAAAGCACCGACGACAACTTACATTCTAATTTCATCTTCGAGCAACGTCTCCCGAGTATGTGTGAATCATACATGAATTTGTGTGAACGAATGAAATCATATCACAGTACGTACCGAGTAAGAACTGCAATTATCAATTATACACTCTACCGATAGCGTTACTTAACCATTTACTTGGCAACTGTCCGAATGCATACCAGTTGCTTCATGATATCATGACGGCGTACGAATGAAAGAACCATTACGAGGCGTAAAAAAAAAAAAAAAAAAAAAAATACATGGTGCAATTGACGACCAATCGACTCGTTACAATTTAAACACGAGGTGTGTGCTTGTTTTATGCTAACAAATCAAATTAAAAACAATTCCCCGCTACTTTCTGTACCAATGGTGCAGGAGAACTGAAATCAAATCTGAAAGTAACTCGAAATATTAGCGTGAATCCATGTTATTTACAAGCAATATTTCCAATTAAAGGGCTAAATATTGTACGTCGAATACAAAACTTTATGAAACTGGGAAATGATTTGCGGGAATCCCCGTGTTCGAGTAAACGGGCAGTTTCGACTTCGTCACTTGAAAGCGGGGATGTTGTATCGACGACAGATACAGATCAGAGGTGCAAGAATTGCTTCGGGAATGAGAAAAAATTTATTCGTATCAACGCCCCATTTTCTACGCGACAAACCTCTTTGACTTTTCTAACGTCCTTTCGCCGAGATAAGCATTCTCCAATGAATAATTTAATTAACGCGGATAGTCGGTAAAATGATAATTGAGAAAAACGGCTGAATTCGCCCTCGTATGCGTACCCGACGAACAGAATTTTCGTAACGAAGTTCAAACCGAAAGTAAACAAATGCAATTCGATCCCGACTCGCTCGATTCATTTCGAAAATTGTTATTTACTATTTAGTTCACGACGATGTATAAACTAGGAGAAGCGGATGGGGGTATGCGACAGTTGAAAGTACACAAAGACTATGAAAAAAAATCGTTGTATCGCACAAAGTATCGATAAGTAACGAGCACGTAAAGCATTTTATTATATGATTGGAGAAGTAAAATTAAATTGGAAATACGTCATAAAGAACGCGCATTTTATACGACAATAAGATAAAATCTAAGATATTTTCTCGTTACTGGTAATTCAAGGAGCTCACGATTCGTCACTCGCCAGAACAATTCGTTGTGAGGAGGCTTTCGTTCCGAACACTGAAAATTCCGCGCACGTCATTCGAATAACGATGCGTCTGTTGCGAAAGCAATTTGTTGGGCGCTCCTGCGTGTGGCAATTTTGCGATTTTACAATATCCAAAATAGGGAAATTCAATTGTCGTTCAATTGTAATTCAGTTGTAATTGTAATTCAGTTACAATTCAATATCAGTTTACTTACAATTCAACTACAGTTCAATAGTTTAATTGAATCGGAGTTGAGTTATAATTAAATGACAGTTAAACCGTAATTCCAGTTGAAACATAATTGCATTATACAGAATGCAGATCATTAAAGATTAATATCTAACCATATTTTTTAATAACAAAGAAAAGATGAATTATTTTGTATTCGAGTTAAAAAAAATTATAAATAATAAGTTACATAGCAAAGTTGCCAGACGGAGGAGACAATTGTTAAATAATGATAAATAGCGATCATGTATCATGTTAAAACACACGCTAGAATCTCGCAATGTTCAACATAATTCGCACGAGCCTGGCGAGCTTACATGTATAGATCAGGATCAATGACCGTAAGGGAGCGATCGTTGCATCGCGAATCAATTTACATACCGACTACTTCGACATCATTTTAGGAGTTTCTCACTGTGGTCATCGTTACAATAGGCGACCGAACGCGGCCAACAAAATATCGCTGTCTGTGTCTGTTTATCGTGTGTACCGTCATTGTTGAATATGCGACTAATCGACGCGCGTAAACACGTCACCTGTAATTAGGGTATCTCTGTTGAAGTCAATCGACATAATGGAACGATTAATTCTTCGATTCTCCTTCGATGAATTTTCATTTGAAATCTTAATTTTATAATTGATAACGAGAGTTGAAATATAAATTCTATAATATTTTAAACATTAAAAGTATTTATTTAGTCGTGTATCGGATACAATAAGAATTTATTATAATTTACTGAACGTTATTGGTCTGATTACTACTTGAAAATATGACATTCAATGAAAAGAAATTGCGACGAAGGAAAATCGAAGGAAAAGTCAGCGTTGGGGATCGTCTCGCTCGAAATTGCCACGAGATGTAGAACTAACTTGCGATGCGAATGGTTCGCGCATTCACTCGCGAGCTCAAAGTAGTTTTACAGTAGAGAAGCGTTAATCGAAAGTAGCCATGTTGTTGCTTAAGACATTTAGGATAGGGTTAACGCTAATGGACAGTTGGTCGAATCGATGAAAAGCTTTGAATGAAGAACTGACGAATTCAAAATTCTGATCATGGAAAATATTGAAGTATTAAATCATAATACGAAATAAATTGTTCAGGGTGATCTATATTTACACTAGGGTTAAAACTACTCGAATTGTCCTCTGTTCGAATATTCAAATAATTCAGTAATTCAATGGTGAATACCATTCAAATACCATTTGACTGCTATTCGAATAAAATTCAAATACTATTTGACTCCTATTCGAATACTTGTCGTGTGAAATGGAAATCAAATTCTTCAATTTCTTCCTTCTTTTTCTAAACTTTATACTCGTGCATTTAAATATTACGATATTTACATAACGATATTCATATCCTCGAATATTCGAATACTAAAATATCTGAGTAGCGAAATTTGGATACTAAAATATTTGAATATCGAAGTATTCGAGTGGTTGTAGACCTATTACATTACAAATCAGTGCAACTTCGTCGATTCCTCCATGAAAATGTACGTAACGTTTAGATAATAATACCGATTTGGAGAGGACACGAAAAGTCGACATGAGTTCAGATAAAAAATAAGATCCTATCCGCTAGAGAGAGAGAGTCGTTGCAATCTATTCTGTTGTCAGCTAGGACGTTTGTTAAAGTTATCGCGTCGTCCCTTCTGTGGTGTAACTATGTAAATTGCAAACAATAGAACAGATACTGAGTGGAAGAAGAGAAAACAATGCTTTCGGTGTCGCTGTTGTAACTCGAGTTAATGTTAGTGAGAAAAGAAACAAAAAAAAAAAAAAGACATAATGAAAACACTTCGAAACGAAACATATACCGGTTCACCAAAACGATCGACTCTGTAATCGACATCACTCGAGGTCGATTTCGATTCTAGACGATCCCTCGATATCGCGATTCTACGCTACTGGCATCAGAAGTGTCGTAAGTTAATTGTATGATAGATTCTTGGCGTTACGCGAATTACGAAGAGTGGTATTAATTATTCCGAACGGTGAACAAGAGAATTCGTCGCGATCCCATCTGACACGTAAGAAAAGAAAAGTCTGTGTACAAGCGAAACCTAATTTGTAAAGATGTAATGTATATGTAATTTGTAAAGATATAATGTACAATGTAACATATAATGTCGATGAATATAAAGGTAACTGCGATTAACGTGGACGAAAGGAAAAACCTTCGGAGAAAATTCATTTGCAGTTTCGTTACTCACCCGACTATTCCCTAAAAAAAAAGTTTCGATCAATTAGGAAAGAGACGTTGACTTTACAGTTTATTTACACAGGCTACACAATGTACACTATGAGAGATATGAAGACTCGCGTGCGACCCGTTTTATGGACGCTTTAAAAGATTGCACGAAATTCACTCGCAGCTTGCCGTTGGCAGACCAAAAAAATCGTCGTATTCGTTAAACAAAATTGCACATCGCCATTACGGAAGTTATAATGTAACGCTTGTATAGGTCGAGCAACAAGAACTTAACGAAACAAAATATAGTTTGTACAACAACAACAACAATGTTACAGAGAAAACGCGATTCGGAACGGCACCGAGACGCGCGCCGAACGATATATGTTTATATTATTCTAAAAATTGAACTAAACTGGCACGTAAACGTAATCAAAATTAATAATTCGATGTAACATGAATTCCAGCCTCACTGATTCACTGATAAATTAAAGAAAAATAAAAAAAAAGAAAAAAGAAAAAGGTGAGTGCAAGGGGTTAATTAAATTATATTATAATTGCATTAATTGGGCCAGTATTTATGCTCTTGGAATACAGAGCTAATTGTTTTTCAGCTTTAAGAAGGGTGAAAATAAACGAAAACGAAACAAAAATATAACTTTTACCAAAGAATCGATTCCCCTAAAATTAAAAAAAAAAAAAAAAAAAAAAAAAAATTGTTGCCCATATAACTAAATAATAGAGAAAATGAAACTAAGAATCGTGAAGTAGGAACGCGTTGCTCCACAGTTCAGGCATCGAATTATTTCCATTTGGTTAGAATCGATAATAGCTACTTATAGAATCGCAGAAAACAAGAACATCGAGAGCATTAGTCAACCAGACACGGTTCAAGAAGCACTGTTGTTCGTAAATGAAGAATAATGTAAACGTATCAACAACATTCGTTCACGTGTTTGCTGGTTCTTTCGTTTTTCTTTTTTTTTTTTTATACGGCAGGCACGCACACTTACGCACACGTATACTCTAATATTTGGACATTTGTACTTGACGTATTTCAATCGCGTGTATAACAAAATATTCGAAGCTACATTTTTCTTTCTCGGCTCCGAGGATCGTTGAGCCACTTTACACGCAGGTATAGTTTGCACTGTCGTGCATTATAGTTGCACGATTTTCTTTAGTAACAAACCGTGAGGTAATACGACACGAAATTAATTTTAAAGTTAATGGCTGTCCCACGTTTAAGCAACAGAAATGGCCAAAATTTGATAAACGATTTAATTTTTCATTGTGAAAAGGTATATTCCGTAGTGTAAATTATATATTTTATTTAAGAAGTTGTTTGTCTTTTATTCATTCCTTGAAATTTATTTTATCGAACGATAAGAATTTTGCCCATTTCTGTCAAGACATGGATAAACGAAAGAGCCAAGTAAACCGAAGGCACATGTGCCAACGTTCGCCAAGGTTCGAGCACGTGTGCCTTTGGTGTATATTTAATTGACACCCGATAAGAAAGTTATAACAAACTCACTTAAACATTGAAATTTCATATTGTGCACAACTCACCTAATTAATGTGTCTCATCCTCGTGTTCCTCGGACGACTACCAGTTTCTAAAGTGACTATTTAGAAAGTTGTACAGGAAGTTTGCAAATGATCGTGTGTCCAACAAAATCGAAATTTACACAAATCTGTGTCTTTTTTTTAATTTACAACACATTCACTACACTTGGACACACTATGCTTGATCAACGACCAACACGTGTGTTCAAGATCTTCCCCCACTCCGATCGCCGTCAGGTTACACGTTACACGAGGATGCACGTGTCTCGATCTATTCTGTTCCGCGCTCTGCCCCACACTGACGCCTTTCTCTCTCGGTCGAGGCTCATATGGAGGGGATGGGTCCCGTGCGAGAGTCCCAACCCATTGGCTGCCTAGCTCGCGGGGTCTCTTCCCCTTCCACGCGCCGTATTCAAGACAGAAAATAGTTGTAGAGCGCGAATTTTAAAGAGATTAAATGGAACAAGTGAAATATGAACTCTCTTTAGCAACAATTTTGCGTTTTCTCTATTTTGTTAGACTCACGATCTTTCACACATTTTTCAAAATAGTTTTCTAAATAGTTACTATGGAAACAGACCATCACCTTAACAATAAAGAAATTAAATACATTAATTAAGTGAGTTGTATTCCTGTGAAATTTCAATGTTCGTCAATGTTATAAATTCCTTATCGCGTATTGTTTAAAGAAATATTGATCCTTGTTTTTTTTTCTTATGTACGTAATGGAAAAAATTATCTTTACATTTTGAATTCCATTTAGGGGCAATCTATAAAAATTCGAGGAAAAACGTAAACGCATTACTCGTTACAGTTATTTAGGCATGCGCGTAATTCGAAAATTCGTTAGGTCTACGTTTAAACCCCTTCGTTAAAAATACAAACGTCTTGTTAACAAGTTAACAAAAGTAACTTGGACCCCATGAATGTTTGTTTAAGATATAGCAGACCCTCCATTGTCTGAATCCTTGTTATAAATCATTGCTTAGCAACCTGTTTCCGATCGAAGATAAATCCTGTTTCTCTTCTTCGAAGATAAAAATTAATTAATATTATATCAATATTATATCAAATAACATTTTATTTTATAATTATCTGAAGTAATTGTGTAATTGTTTTTCAAATAGCTTTCAAATTATTTCAAATAGTTCTTCCTTATTCTCATTTCAATTAAAATTTTCCCACGTCTATTGATAATAATTTTAATAAAAAATATACGATACTAAAAGTTTGACATATCTAGTCTTTCACTATGCCTAAGTCAATTCTGACAACGAAGGTTCCACCAGACTCACTAAAAAATTACTGGAAATCGTTTAAGTAAATTTCAATACAAGGAGGCATAACACTATCGGTTAAAAAAACCGACGCAATCACTAACATAGTATAAATTTGCATTAATATTCACCCTAGAGATTAATCGCTGCGGAAACAATTTCACGCCGAAGAGGTCCACAATTTAAGCTTTGATCAGTCGAGTAGTTTCCACAATGCAAACCATACCACAGTCTTCAAGCTAAAGTAATTTGGTCGAGTTTCCAACGTAAGGTTCCCTTTTTCCTAATCTTATCATCCCACATAAATTTCACCCCCGCGCGACAAACTCTTATCATTTCTTCCTATATGGCCTGTCTTCACCCTCGATTAATTAGTTAATACGCAATAACATAGGGTGCCTCAGGTACTCTTTCGAACAAATTCGCGTCGAATCTACAACAAGGATGTCTTGAACCTCAATAAATAAATAAATATATACCAGAATCGTGACGAAATCGATCACAAACTTTGTCAGCATCCAGTTCGAAGAAAGATGGACGCCGAAACGAGGGACTCGAAGGAAAAACGAAGTAATCCCGACACCTCGATCATTTGTTGACGAAAGCAGAGCTCAACTCCTGGTAAACAATCGTTTATGTATATGAATTCTACTGAATCGTCGAATAACTTGGTTCGTTTGAAACGTATAAAAAATTGTTCTCGTTTCGCTTGTCTGCGAGGTTCACTTCTGCTTCGAACCCCTTGAACACCGCGACAATGGTGTTATTTGTATTATATAAATGTTCTAGTTTTGGTGTTCGCAAGAGTCGTCAGTTCGGTTACTCTCGCGTGACATAATGATATACGTACGAAAATAAATGAAACGAAATAAGACTTGAAGTTCCTAGTGAAAGTTGCTTCGCAATAACTGTACTGGATGGGCCGTAATTCGTGATACATTTGACTTTTTGTGATAAGAAAAATTCGAATGGCTGATATGAAATTGTTTTATACTGGGGCTGAGAATTTAAATAATATTCAAATAGCCAACTCCGTGAATTATAACCCAATAGTCAAATGTACGAATAATATTAAAATAGCCATATTCGAATTGTATTGAAACAGACAAGTCCTCGAATATTATTTGCCCTATTTCTTGCTTTTAAATTGATGCTCAAAATCGTCTCAATCGTGGCACGGCTCACGGGCCACCCTGTATAATTACTCGTCCATACGTTCACCGTATTCAACAGTACACCCCGAAACAGTGGTTTTTAATTAGCGTTGTCGATAGCAAAAATATTTCTACCACAAGTTTACAAGACATTCATTTCACACACCTTTAAATAACTTTGTGATCCATTACGATCTTAAAAATTTGTGTATCTACGATCAAAGGAGCCAATCTTCGATCTGAAACGATAGTTATACTAAGAACCAATAACCGAATCTCAAAGTATTTGTTCAAGTAATGAATATACCGAGGTGAATCAATTCCTAGTCCACAAAAATATCCAACTCTGTAACATCCAGCTAGGACAATCTTGACCGATACATTTATTTCTCTGTACCGATGGAGAAAGAAAGATCACCCGTTATAGGATCGGAAAAATCGGAGAAAAGTACCTGGATCGCGTCGTCGATCGATGAAAATTCGAAGTTTTCTCTCATTCTTTTGAATATAATCCTCTCACTCGTGGAGAAACACTTCCTCAGAAATTACAGAAGAGATTTATGGAGGAGAATCGATTAAACGCTATCGTCCTGACCGTTTCCGCTCTGATCACCGTAATTATCCTTATCCTTGTCCGTATCTGTGTCCGTGTCCTTTTCTTTATCTTCGTCCATTTGCTCGTCGACAACTTTTTTTCGACCTTCGACCTTCTCCTCCTTATCGTCCATCGTGAAATCCTCGCTTTTCACTGTCGAATTCGCCGAATGAGATTTGTTCAGCAATGAACTAAACTCGCCAAATTTCAGTATCTCCTCCATGGCTGATTGTTCTAGGTTCACCTATCGGGAACAAAGTAGGATTTCGTTTATTTATACTAAATCATATTATAGAATTCTACATTTATAAGCAGTGATTATAACACCGAATACACTAAGATACTAAGGGAATACGTGAAAAATATCCAACCTTTCGTGGTCTGCCCCTCTTTCCTTTAGTAGGTGGGGAAATCGTCGGTTGGCAACTCGTGCTGGACAGGCTGCTCTTCCTCTTCGGCCACTGCATGTGCGAGTCCACGTGTTGCTTCAGCTTGTCCTGCCTGGCGAACATCCGCGGACAGATGCTGCAGGCGAACGGTCTCTCGCCCGTGTGGACTCTCCTGTGTCTAGCCAGGTGGGAGGCTCTCGTGAAGGCCAGAGTGCAAAGGTCGCAGGAGAAAGGTTTGTATTGCGCCCTGTCGGATTTGGCCAGTATGGGCCTGGTGGACTCTTTCCCATCGTGCAGGCTTGTCCTCTTCGAGGGACCGTCGCTCTTCTTCTTCATCGTTAACCTGGAACTCTCGTCCGCGCTCTTCGACGAATCCTGCAAGTTGAAAGGGAGATGTAGCGCGAACGACGGGGTGCAATAGCGATTGTGTGAACCGACAAGAACGAGTGGGTTAATAACGTGCTTGGCGCAGCAATGTTAGTTGAACATAGATTCAAAGAGTATAGAAAAGTATTAAGGTATTGTATTCTGAAATTGATATTTTCTGAGTTTTATGGCAACGTCGATTTAGGATAGGTACACCTTATTACTTTTACACTCAGTCCACCTACAGAGAAAACATATTGGTGTGCATTTATTGCGAGCATATTTCTTAAAATGAAAATGGGGATCAATCTCAACTGTGATCATCGTTTCCTACCAGACTCTCAGCTCGTTCTTGTAAGTCTTCGTTCATCTCTACGTCTGGTACCGTGGGATCTGTGGATCCGTTGTAACTCGAGTCGAATTTAGACGCGCTCGAGGAATCTTCGTAGTTGTCATCTCTCGCGGAGTCCTCTTTTAGGGTTGCCCGTTCCTTCGATTTGTATTCCTGTGACTCGGTGCTTCTCGAGGGCCGTCCAACAGAGACTCTTTTTTGGCCCTTGAATCTCGTCTCCCGTTTGTACATTGGCGGTGGCATGCGCCTCTAAACAAATCAGAGATGAATTAAAATATTAACAAGCTGGCGTCTATGCTTGTAAAATATTTAATTAGACGAGACCAGCGTCTATGATATTCATATTCTTCTCGATAGAAGAAGGCTCTACGAAGAGACCTGAAACGTTCCCTCGAGTAACTCAATTTTCAATACATTTAATTCCTGTTCCTCTAAAATACCAACAAGGGAGGTTCTCCCAGCGTTATTTCATTTATCCAAAGTAATAACGTTGGGAAAATAGTTTTCCTCTCCTGGAGAAAATTGTTCCAATGTAAATAGTTCGAAGCGCAAGAAAGCGAACGAGCACCTCAAAATTATTAAACCGACTCGTTGCGCGTGGATTCAGCAGCGGAAAGATTAATATCGACGGGAGAACGTGCACTATTTAAATTGCCGGAGCACGGGAACTTTTTTATGAAAATTTAATTAGCCCCGTCCGTGTCACGTGCATGTCCGAACTAACTTCTATTAATTTGGCTAAACTTACGATTCTATCCACCTGGTCGAGAACTTTTCGAGACGCACCGCTGAATCCACGGTGATCAAAGGGAACGAAACGAGCTACCGTGGTTTTTCTTTTTTTCTTACCACGGTCTTGATTAATTATTAGACGACGTCCAGAGGGGACGATAAAACGAACGAAGGAAGCGTCCACGACTAAGTCGACGTTTCTCGTTTTCAAAGAAACTCGACTATGAGTCGCCTTGTGCATACATCAACAGAGAGGCTCGCGAAATGGCGAGAACACGATTTCATTTAAGCCGTCAACGAGCGTGTGATTATTTCATTCGGGCTATTTTTCAATGTTAGTAAAATTGTATATGTTTTATATGTCGTATTGAACTTTTGAGTACAATTCAGTTAAGTAAAAATACATAAAAACTTTTGAAATGACTACAGTCTCGCGTGTCCTACTTGTTATCAGGTCGTTCAGGAAGTAATGTCGTATCTTATCGTGGTTGGAAGAATATAATGCCTCGTTTACGATATATAGGGCATGGAATGAACTGTGTTATAAGTAGACTGTGGATTTTTATGCGTTTATGGTAAATGAAAATGCAGGAAGGTCCACAGTCTAGTTTAATTAATTTCTCTTTCATGGCGAATTAAAAAATTCCTAACGTAAAATGAATCACACATAATAGACCACTAGCCTACAGTTCCTCTTTTATTTGTTTATGCAGGCATAAAACAGAAAATCATGGCTGTCATGCACATGCAAGGTTGGTTCTCACGAGAATGGTTGTGTCACACGAAAAATGGCGCATGGTAACGAACGCGTTAGGCAATGCTCAATTAATATATAAAGATAATATTTTCAGTAAAACGCGTTGTATATAGAGGACGTTGCTCGGCATGTGGAACCCAATTCAACGGAACAACAATGAAAAACGTTCGTGTAAACATGCGCTCTCTTTGGTCATGTTTCACAGTTCTGGTAGCAAATTACTCTCTTTAGCAATAGAGGTTTTGTATTTATAAGAATGACCTAGGTGAATTGGAGTCAAGTAGAGTTCATCAAGCAGATAAAGGAGGATATTAAAAAATGATCGATTCTGGAATCATTTTTTTTTGCCGTGCGGTACCACCACGTCCCAAAAGCTTCATGCTATATTACTTATAATCTACAAATTTTAACTCATCTGAACTAACGATTTGCGTTTCCGAAGTTCGCACAGGTTCGTCGAACGATTCCTCGTGACCGTCGATCACCATTGGATCGTCCTCTACCTCGATTTCTTCAACTTTGATGTGATCTTCCAACGACTCTACGGAAGACTGTTTGGGTAAAAACGGGATGACTGACGGTTCTTTCATGTATTCGGTCGTGTGGACCCTGGTTTCTATGTGACGCCATTGCATTCGGGTCTCGACTCTGGTGTACGGGCTACGAGTGCTTTCCTGGTTCCTCTGGTCACCCGACAGACCTCGAACCTCTAGGTCCGTCGCAGTCTTTATCAGGGAGGGCAAGTGCTCCTCGGCGACATCGATGGAGCCTCGATACATGAAGTCTAGGAGGCATTCCATTTCTTCCACCGCCACCCCTGCTCAAACATTCGTTAGATTTATTGAAAATTATTAAAAATTAACTCAACTAATATTCAAATACATATGAAATATTACAATGTAGTAGTTGGATAGTCTGTATCCCATGCCTAGTTCTAACTGGCAGTGTTTTAAAAAAGAATGTAGATGTTATGTAACTGGTTGATTTGCAAGTATTAACTCACCTTTTAAAATGAGAATCGGTTGCTCGCCATAGTGCTCTTTAAAAACTCGCTCGAAGTAAGGGCTGCATGCTGCCAACACTAATCTGTGTGCTCTCAGCATGCCACCCTGGCAAGCTAAGGTCGTGTCGGTCAAAGAACCACTCTTATACAGTCCTTCAAATAATCCAGACAAATTCGCCAGGTGATTGTTCCACGTGAGATTGAACGTCTTCTCGCCCATTATTATAGCACGTTGAGTCACCTCTAACAGAAATAACAAATACTTAGCATTAGAAGAAGTAAACTAAAACCTATTTCTGAAAAATATAATTGTAATTTTAATTTATTTTCAGTCAACGTCATCAAACTTAAATCACTCATCGATCTAATGATATAAGAAAACAAGAGGACAATTTGTTAATTCTCCCTTCATGGTACGCAATCTTTAAAAATATTGACTGCTAGAGTCTATCACTGCCAGGATGACTATAACTTTACGAAACTCTTGGTTTCTCGGTTCAGGAAAAATTGTTGAAATTGTTGCACATCGTGCACGAACGATGTGTGGCTAATAATCGAGTATGGTACATTTCCTATCTTACCTATTATTGTTACATCATAATTGAAACACTCAACGATGCGGGTGGCACGTCATTTTAATTGATACGCCGCGCACAATTATTCGAATCTTCCGCGTCGAGATATTCATGTAATACTCGGTATGTAGCAATTGCATGCGTGTTGCAAAATTTTACCTAGCTCGTATGAATGTCCAAACATGGTAGTGTAGTTTCCAACAGTATTGTCGCCTCCACCAATCGGTAGGAGGCTCAAACAGTGATAATCTGATTAATGTATTGGCTGCGGTTATCACAAATACGGAGGTCAGTATTCGCCAAATAGCAAGAAATAGGGGAATCAATTGGAGTTCAGTCTATCGAATATTACAAACCACTCCAATATCGTACGTACCATGTATTTGTACAGCAAGAAATGCCAGAGGGCAATTATCAACTTTACTTCGTGCATTTGATTTCAGTCGCCTCTTTAAATTATAAACAGAAATTATTTCTTTCTCATACACGCATTCTTGGTTTAATTAATACTTCAATTAAACGAACCAAATATGAAAGTGATGAGATGAGACCGGTTATCAAGGTAGACAGCACTGTTGGCAAGCCTCGATATTCTAGGACGTACTGTCGATAAGACAGCTCGATCTATCGGTACTATAAAACACAATTGAGAAGTGTGTTTAACCAAATAGAGTTCTACATTGCCAACTCTACGAAGCTACTAAGCGTACCTATAAGAAAACGTCACAAGTGACATGAAGTTGTTTCGACAAACATTAAATAGACAATTGGACACATTATGCACTAGACAGTTAACTCGATAGAATGATTTATATAATTTAATAGTGTCGCTCCCATTTCCCCAATGGTCCTATAAGTCTAGCTCGATACGAGTCATCCGAGGCCCAAACGAGACACCCCAATCTGTAATAAGTTTTCCAGGTTCATTCCTGCGACTTGTGCTAGAAAAAACTGCTGAAACGTTGAAAGGAAAATTCTCCAACGCAATTACGAGGAAACCGTATTCGACGTAGCTGTATAATCTATGAGGGAAAAGAAGGAAACAGGGGGTGTATGGGGGCAGAGTTGGCCAAATACGTAGGAACACCAGGGGGGTGCGTGTACATATACGAGCAGGGGGTGAGAAGCAGGACGAAGAAGGGCAGAGCGATCCGGCGATGGTCATGCGCAGTCGCAGTGCCTAGGCCCGATCCATAATTTCGTTGGTGGACCCCCATCACGCATTACCAAAGGGCTTTACGTTCGTGTGCAGACTGCACGCACCCTTTTTTTTTCCTTCGGTTTCGTCGCAGATACGTCACAGCAGCGGAGGGGGACAGGGGTCACGGAAATCGACGACCATCGAAAGAGGAGCCCCCCTCGCGACATAGCGAGCAGTCTTGACTCGCATCGTCGCCACAGTAAGGGCTTCTGCATCAGCATGCGTAAAATATATTACCATGACGACGACATTTGCCTTGCATGAATTATTAACGAGGAAGGGGTATTACTAGTTCGAGAATTCCTGTTGAAATTATAGTCAACTGTCTAACTAGTCTGAACAAATTATAGTTAAATAAATATTTGTGGAGTGTACAATGTTTGTAAATATTTTTCTGATATTTTTCTTGGCCTCGGAAACTCAGACTTTCCACTTGTTTAGATGATTTTCGTATGCCCCCCTTTCGCAGCCTGAGAAACACAGCATTATCCAGTGGAAGGGGGGAAAGCAAAATGGCCCCCGTTTCGAATTCCACGGACCTAAGAATCTCTGGACGGAGTCTAAACTGAGTTTGCAGGCGCGGTAAGGCGTGATGGGAGACGTGCGGGCAGTGTGCCGAATTCTCGTTTGTCATCGGCAACCTACGGCAGGCTTCGGTTGGATTCGGTTTCTACATATGCTTGTAGGCCAATCATAACGTCTACGAGGCCACCATGTTCGGTATTTTAAAAACTCTACGTTCATTGGTTAATGTCGACCAATCGAAAATAACGAAATAGTTTATCATTTAAAATAGCCATTATTTCAAATGAACTGGCATTATTTTTATTTTCAAACGACTGTACCGAAACTAGTGTCGCGGAAAAATGATTTCGCAACAGTTACTTTTTATTTTCATTCGAATTAAAATTTGCCCGGGTCTGATTACACATGCCACGTTTAACTGGAAACGAAAATATGATCAGCAACGATGGTCATGAATTTCAAAAATACCGACTATGCCCGTTTTAATCGTTTATTGCGAGCGAAAAAGTTATCGTTGCACGTCATCGAGAGTCAATACGATAACAATGCGTTCTTCGTTGAAATAAAAATGCCTGCGCACGCTACGAACCGTCCGAGAGCAATTATTTAACTTGTCAACGCAAGTACTATCGTTCATCGTCACAATCACCCATAATCGTTCACTCTAATTAAGGTTGCTGCTTCAAGATCAATGTCCTCCGCGTGTGTCTATGCGTTTGCGAACACTAAATTTTCGACGCGTTCCGGCTCGATAACTTAATTCCTTTGTAGCAGCAAAACTTTGTACGGCGCGCGCGCGCGAATGGAATTTCTATAGTAAATTGTGATTTATTGTTACCGTTACGCGAGTACCGCGAAGCATTAAAGGGACAGGATTTATTAAATTTTCGCCAAGTATCAGTGGTAGCCAAGTTGAAACAGTTTGATTTACATTCCCGTGGCACCGACCAAAATTCTCTAGACAGAAATTCCGATAACGGTAATCTCGGCGTGGCGGGAAATCCGTTCTAATAATAAATAAATTGAAATTCTCCCGACTTGGGCAAACATTGAAAGATATCGGGGCCGTTAGCGAGGCATTTAAAATTTAAATTGCACCGAGTATTCGAACAGTTAAACGACGTAAGCAACCGATAAAAATATTTTATTCGACTCGACAATCATTCTGAAATTATTTTTTAATTACCACAGTGTCCTTTGTTAGGCTTTATTTTGTTGTGGTGTACATTTTTAAATATTTTGTTACGAAGTTTATCTCGCGATTGATATATTAATCTTTCCTTTTCCATTTTTACTATATTCATTATATAATTTATAGTTTATTCAATTAATATGTTATATTTGAATGTTTCAATGCACGGTGAGCATATTTCGTAAAATTGAATTTTTACTTCTAACAAAGCTACAAGTAAATTCTTCCTGTAATTGCAAATATAGTACTATAATGTTTATGATTAAGGTATAATGACGTATAACACAATATTGAAAATGAACGGTGGTAATACGGTTGCATAACCTCGAACGTGTAAGTCTGTAATTTGCATATGCTCATAAACGCGTTATATCACATTTCACGTTATAATAACATAATTCTATTAAAATTTGCAACTTCTGATGAGAACTGAAAGCAAATGTCGAAGGATTAAAATAAAAAAAAAAGTATCTTTGAGCGTTCTAAAGATTCCAAACGAATAATTCTTCTTCGTTGCTCGACGATGTTAGTGCAAAATCGAAGCGTTACCAAGTCTGTTTACATAAGCGTCAAAGAAGGAAAAATGTGCATAGCAATGTTTATCATTGCATCTTACGTTTTCCTTCGTACGATTCAGTCCAATTATACGATCACGTTTCCCATCAAAAGAAATTTATTCCTAGCTACCTTATTACGCGTTTGATAATAATAAATAATTCTTAGTCTTTTAATAAAGCTTCGACCCTATTATGATTGTTATCGAGAACAAAGCAGACGAGGAAGCGAATACAGTTTAATTAATCCATGAAAGTTTCGGCCATGTTGTTTGGGTCATTTTCATTAAAGGAATATATCAAGTTATAAAATAATATACAATAAACAGAACTTTAACAAAATACTGCCACTTGTATTCGATCCTTTCAGTAACCTACCTTAAACTTTCAAACAGCAGGAAAACCTAGCTTAGAATGATATAACCTATTTTCACTTTCACATTACGTCAAACGTTTCCACTTTCAGATGCAGTCGTCATCTTCGATCGATTCATGTTTATTTTGGTAATTAATGGTTATTTATCGGATCTAATTCATTATGGCATAGAATAAGCTTTTAATATTAATCTTATCGATCGACAAGATAAACTATCAATTACAATCTTACCTATGACGAACAGAAGACAATCGACACGTACGGAACGATTTCTATAATCGATACAATTGTCGACGCTTGATTTTTTTTATTCATGGTAGAACATGGAGAGCACCTCTGTTCTGATAAGTACGACCGATTGAAATGTCGCATCTTCGACGCTGATCCAGATCACCGGTCAATCATAAATTGACGTCGCTAACGTTATCGTATAAGAGGAGGCGGATCTGTCGACGTCGCCAGGACGTCCAGGCGACTCTGCGCGAATAGGTCACTTCACAAGTCACAATGCTCTTGAGAAGCCTAATGAGTCGCTGCCACGTGGAAGGCTCTGTGCGCGATGCTTTATTTATGAAAATCAATCCCCCGCCCGGTGAAACAAAGAGAAATAGAAACAAGACGGACATATCCCTTCGTTACCGTTTCAATTTTTTTTTCGAACGAGCTCCCGATAGTTTCACTCTGTCTCGTCGTACGAAATACATACGCTATAATTGAAGCTAATGCTCGGATAACACAGAGCAAAATGACGTCGAAACTGTGACACAGATATAATTTATGACACCACGCGCCACGGAACACGTTTCGACCGAGTAGAGAGATTACGCAGGTGAAGTAAAGTAATTACTGACCGAGATGCGATAAACTTCGTGCAAGGATCAAAATTTCGGGGAAAGGTAAATAATTAGGAATTGTAAAGTTAATTTATAGAGGAACTGTTAGAGGAGAAATTAAAATTGTAGAATTGAATACTTTATAATGATAAAAATTTTAACGAGGATAGAATAATTAATTCTACAATGTTGAAATTTAATTAACGACGTCCTAACTCCATAGTGCTGAAATCTAATTAACGTCTCAGCTCTTGTATTTGAGTGATCTTCAGATCTACAATTATTGAAATTGAAATTAACGATTTCGAATAAATAATCAATTGAAATGTGGACACGAGGTTGAGAAACACTACGCTATAGAGTATTACTCTCGGCAGCGATTGTAAACCACTCGAGTGAACACCTATCATTAGACTATGTAACGAGTGAAATAAATAAGTCGATGACAAAGTTCAACCTGCGGTTCCCGAGGCGTACAGTCTCCCGTGGCTCCGATTTGTTCAATATTTTTCTGCAAATTGTTGTTCGACTCGCTTGGCTTGTGGTACAAAGTACTATTTCGAGTCACGTGACACGCTTCAACATTACTTGTCTACACTCGGGTGCCGGGATACTCGAGCTTTGTAACAATACGAAATGTTAATCTAACGATATTACACATCGATAAGAAAAATGATTGATGACCAGATGTACGTGACCATCGTTATGGATATATGTACACAATGATGATAAAGTTATCGTGAATCGTGCACGATCGTATTAAAAACAGACATTCCGACACGAACTTCTATGTAACTCGATTTCCACGAATTTCTTTTTGTTTAAGACTGAGAAGCGCGCACCGAAATGGGAGCACTTGGAGCCGAAGTTAATTATGTGTCTTTATATTCAATCGTATATAATTGAAGTTTGTGTTTGACTTTTTTACAAATAGAGCACACATAGCAAAGTCCTTCCAAAAGCTTGCATCATGCAAAATATTCATTCGTATATAAAAAAAATGGGGGTCCGAGTCCTGGGGAGCGAAACACTCAATTGTGCGCGTTGCGGCCCATATGGCAGGTGTGCACATGGTTACTGTGAGGGATGTATATTGCTTTTATGGGGCCCCCGTTCGCCAGGGGGTCTGGGGCCCCAGCCCCCCAGCATGCATATGCGCCCGAGGACTATGCTTTTAAAATTTTTTAAAAGGTTTTATCTGAAAGCATATGCCTCGAAAGTATACGCGTGCTAGGGGGGCTGGGCTCCCCAGACTCCATGTCGAACAGGGGGCCCCCTGTCCCCCTGCCGAACAGGGGGCCCCCTCGACAGCAATATAAATATATCCCTCACAGTAACCATGTGAACACCTGCGAGGTACGCTGTAACACGCACAGCTGGGGACTTCGCTTTCAAGCCCTAGGACCCCCATTTTTTTACTAACTGTAAATCGTTAGCGCTTAAATTTATTATACCGTACGGTGTATACCATAAGCTGTATGTACACTTGCATTTGATGCACTGGTTAAGTAAATAAAAAAATAAATAAATAAATAAATAAATAAATAAATAAATTAACGACGTATATAATAATATTAGAATAATGATACTCGAATACCTAAGAAATAATTACACAGAAAATATGCTCGAATCATTGATCCAGGTATTGATTAATCGATAAGATACCTGCTATTAAGTGAAAATACGTAATCCATCTGACTGCTTGATATCAATAAAAAAAAAAAAAATCTGACAAATCTTCGAGGACTAAGCAAATTCCTGCGATCGATTTTATCGAATAATGAATCACGCGACTTTTATTATGGAAGAAAAATAGTCTGAGCCGAAGAAACTAATTTCGTTAACTATGCATTATCATCTTCATTGCCATTTCGATTACATACAGCATTGTTATACGCGTACGTGTGCACAATACACAGCTAGAGAGGTATAAAGTAATGTTTCTAATAAAAGACTTTACTACTCGTAAGATTCCCGAAGGCAAGCTTCATTCACACTCGGCTATCTTCGACGTGCCATCTGTATCCTCGTGTAAGTAAAATAAACGCGGCAGCACTATCCACTCGACAAGTGACCAAAATAACAGCGCGAGCAGGACCAGAAATTTGGTTAGTATCGACTTTTCTTAACTTTCCATAACCTACGTAAAATACTCGGACGAATAAAAAAATATTTTACTTTAACCAGCAGTTTCGTTTTTTAAAAAAAATTCCCCACTCTTCGTTCTCTCTTTGGATGCAATCTTTTTTGCTTCCACTATATCCTTTTCGATCTTCAAGCAACGAAGCATAAAGGAGAAAAAGTTTCGTACTTTGGAAACCGAAGGTTCGCTTCAACTTAAAAGGCAATGGCGAATTCAAGGAGTCTTTCGTAGTCGTTCAATCCGAGAATAAAAATGAGCAATTGTATACTCGTGTTAACGTTTAATGCGATTCTGCTTCCTTTAACCGCGATAATTAATGGCGAGCACGGATGAATTGATTCTGGTTCCCATTTGGGAGTGAGTGAGTTTTATTTATAGGTACGTTCATTTCATTTTTGCTTTACCTTGCATTTGCATTTTCTTCTCTTCATAATTCTCATATCAGGGATGCCAGTAGTCTGTTTGGTGCCCACTGGCCCCCCCTTAGAGTTCGGGTACCTCGGGATCGCTAAAGCCGTACTGTAGCTACATCTACAATCAGACATAGCTACAGCCCCTGAGAGGTTTCCGTTTGGTAGGAACGAAAAATGGCGGGTAGAGGAAATCTGGGAACCAAATCTGTGTAAATAATCGTGTTTATTTAATTGAAATTTCGTTCAATTAATATACTATTTACGTTTGTAGTACACAAAATAATATATGTATACAGTTCAGTAAACGTTTATTGATATATACAGAGCATTTCGTTTAGTTGAATGCGCGAATAAATATATTTTGAGGAGATGAAGCTATGTTTTTCGTGCAAGTTTTGTACTCGATCGAATTTTTATTCGAAAATTTCTCTCGTCTTTGCCGGTCTTAACCCAGGGATCAGCGTGATATTAATTCGACGCTGTGCAGAGATAAAAATAAGTATACTAGCGGCACAGAGGCAGAGCTCTACACTCTACGCCATTGTTAACCTAACCTCGAATTAACGAAAATAATCGCAAACCGTACCGCGCGAATTATGAAAACAACACGGGGAAAAGTGTCGAATTTTTCCAAACAACGTATCGAGGTCGGTGTGTTGGCGTGACTAAGTTATCCAAGAATGCGCGAGAGATTTCCCGTGGCTGGTTAGAGCGCTCTAGAAGATCAAGAGAGCAAGAGAGTCGGTTTAAACCGTGTGTGCCCCAGCGTCGACTCTATTAATACCCGCGGCTCGTCGTCGCGCCTTAAAAACGTGCGCGTCGATATATAGAGTCGTACAGTAAGGAGCAAATCTGTTCCAATCGCGAAAATTTTCCCAATGTAAATATTTTTCGTTATACAAATAATTCAAAACAAATGAAAATCAATGTCGACGACTAAATTTGTTACGATCTCGACGAATTAACACTCTTTTATGACTGCAGTGGGAATGTTTATGCAAATTTATATATCGAAAATAAAAAAAACAGTTATCAACGTTGATTTTTCTTTTTTTATGAATTATTCAAAAAATAACAAACGTTCCTAAGAAAAATGTGCCCGACTGTCTCATTTATGCTCTTTACTGTACGTATACCTAGGCGAACCTTTTGTGAAAAATCGTCTCCCGCCCGAGCGAGGCAAACGGAAGGGAGGCCGACAGATTGACAGCCCTGCCTCGTCCTCGAGTCTATTTCCACGTGAACGACGAAACGAGCGAGAAACGAAATAAATCCGCGAACGATGAGGGAAACGTTGCACTCGCAACGTAAAAGGGAGACACCGAGGCCTTGTCGTGAATCGTTTGTAAATACTGTCCAAATGAAAATACAGAAAAACTGGTGTCGCGACAGTCGTAAACAAAACGCTCGTAAACGTCGAATGGCAGACACAGCTAGCTCGATTTCAATTAGACCAGCACGAAGAGTCACGAATCATGCTTTCGTATCGCGTTAAAACTAACTACAGCGGACTCACAATTATCCATGGTAATAAGGTTAAAACTGTCATGGACGGAGAAACGTGATAACGATATACCTGACACCAAATTTACGCGGTGCGTTCGAAGCAACCGATTTCTATTAAGTGTATAATATATCAACCGATATGTGTATATTCGTGAAGTTGTGAAATTTATTAGAATATTTTTGATGTTAATGATGTTGATAATGTTTTTTTGCTTTTATTTGTATTTTACTTCTATTTTACGTTGGAATAAATGAATTGAATTAAACAACCGATTAAATAACACGAGTTTCCTTTTCCTCTATAATTTTCTGATTCGAACTCTGCTCGTCATTCTGCGAGAGACGAATAAAAACTTGTTTATTCTTCGTTCGTAAAGCGTACTAGTCCAGATAAGAATATCGTCCGTCTCCGTAAAGAAGGTGTCACTGTTTCAACAGAACGTATCGTAGATATCGTACAAGTGCATTCGGAGTCAATTACGCGATTAACCGTTCCGCTATTAGGAACGAGTTAAACAGTATCGTCGCCATCGGACCGATTAAGGAACGGACCAGGGTTATCATCGTAAACAGAACGAGGAAGAAGTAAGCAGCAGGGACTGTTGCAGTTCCAACAGAGCAGCCTACAGATGTCGTACGAGGTCTTAAGCCCGGCACGGAGTCAGCGCAAACACCCAATCGTCGCTTTAGCCTGAATCGTGGCTCGTTTTTCCCGTAAACAACAAGGTAAAATACGTCAGGTGACATTATTCAACGGAGCTCCGGATCGAACCTTGAGCCCAGAAATCGGACGTTTCCGTCGGATTGTGAACGGTCCGCGCACACGACCGTGTGGAAACTGACTTTCACCGCGGCACACGGGTACACCCTAGTCGAGAGCCATATTCCCCAAAAAAATCACTCACCTTCCGATTTCCTCCAATGGGTAAAAGTTTTTAAAAATCGTTCTCGCCGCGACGGGCCACCGGAATCAACCAGTAAGAGCACGCTCCCAAAAAGCTCGGGGTAGACTGACGTTTACACCGTGTCGACGTCTGTTTCGTTCCTTCCTTCACGACCACCGTGTGTGTACACCCTTTTCTCTGCCCCCCCGGATGGAACAGCAAGTATTTCGTGCGAAAACACTCACCGTCGTGGAAAAATCTAACGCGAACGTAACTGACGAGTTGGAGAATCGAGCAAGCGAGCTGAGCTCACTCTGCAAGGGGCACGCGCGTGCTGGGGCTCCCTCGACCGAGTCGCGACTGATATCATTTCCAGCGGGGGACTGTGGGGTCGGCAGCCAGAACCCCACCAGGGGGTCTTCGTGCAACCCCCACGCGGTGTCGTAGTAGTCGTGTTCGCCGTCGTGGTTGTGGCTCGTTGTCGTCGTGGCTCCACCGTTGCTGGTCTCTCGAAACCCCCTTCGCACGTACGGGGGAATAAGGGACCAGGATGTGTGTACGCGTATCATGGGGAGAGACCTCTCTCTTCATTATCCATCTCTTTCTTCCTCTCCTGTTCACATATTTCGATCTCTCTCCCTCCCGTTATCTGTCCCTCTCCCACGCCCGCTGTCTCTCTATCAGTTTCTCTCTTCATTCAATTCCTCATCCTTGTCTCGCTCAATGTACCATACCGAAACGTCTGTCTCATTTCTCTCTTTCTAACATCAACTGTTCCCTGAGCGTATGGCGCACGCACACACACACGCACACACACACACACACACACATCCCGCATCCGCGAACACATTCGCAGAAGCAGACACCCCCCTCCCCCTCCATTCGCTGGCACCCTCCCTAGCCACGAACCCCTTACCACCGGCGTACCCAGCAGCTTTATCCACCCTGAACCCTCCCGTTTACAAGGGGTTGCTTCTCGGTAGCCTGATCGGACGTTCGCGAGAAGAAGGGACCTTCCCTTTTGCCCCTCCCCCGGCGACCTAACCCTGCTTCTTTTTTACGCATTTCAGATTCGACATTGTATTACCCGAGAAAATTTTCGTCCTCTTCCAAGATTTTCAATTTCGGATGAAGACGCTTAAATCTAGCGGTCCGTGAAGGTCTATATCCTCGGTGCGAACGACAACAGGTGCAATTCGCCTTTTCCCCCTTTCGGGAGAGTTAGTATTCGTTGATAGCGGAATTTTAATCGAATGGGTACGTTTTGGGAAGGTTTTCACTGGTGTTTGAACGTTTTTGATTGGATATCAGCTTCGGGATTTGACGGAAGTGTTTGCGATCTGTAACGAACAATAGACACGTGGGTTTGATTTCTTTAATTGGAGTGAACTCACTCAGAGCTCATAATGGAGAGTATGAAAGCGTGGCCTCCTTCGGAGGTGTAGGAATATAGGAAAAACTTCCGGAAGGATAACAGAGATATAAAAATGAACGGAACATAGAGACAGGAATGTATGTAATAAGAATGAAAATGTAAAGATAAGAAACTGACCTTCCAAGCAATGACAGATATATACTGCACTCGTTTGAGGTATGTAGATGTTTGAAAAGAAGTGTGACATTTATGTATCAGGGTGTCACAGGTATACAGGTATGGTTGTATAATGTAAATGAGGAATTATTTGTTGTTGCAATTGAAGAAAACAATTATTGTATATATTAAAAAACACACACGACAAAAATTATGAGTATTAGTAAGTTAGATCTATTTCTTCCTTTCTCAACATTTGCTCGCATTATGTTCCCTTGTACCAAATTCTCTCATTATATTTATTAAAAGCTTTACTACACTTTAGCATGCTTTATTTGAACGTTACTCGACCGTTACCGTTTTAAGATGTTAAAAATAAAACGAACCGTCCACGTCACGATAGGACGATTTTTCCAGGCGTGTCCATTCGATATATCTCTTTGGAGTTAGGTGGGTTAAAAGCTACCCCACCTTTCGTTCAACTTGAATATTTAATCTCAATTTTCCCATTCGGTTGGCAACGTTATAAACAACCATTAAATGTTAAATATACAAAAATAACAATTTATCCAACTCAAAACGCATTAGTAAACTGTTGGCACTGTTCTATCGTGCAGGTTGTTTTATTTTTCTTTGAAATCGTGTGCCTCGAAGAGATATATCATGCCTATCGATCTCTCGATCTTACTCGTGTTCGATCACTTTATTCTCGATTCGTGGCAAAGGCTCCGCGCTCGAGTATCTTTTCGAACGATATCGGCCGCGATACTATCGCAAAGGAATCCTAGTCTGCGGTCTGGAAAGCCCAATTTTCAAATGGAAAGCAGAGAAAATTCCCGTTACGCGAGTATCGCTCCTAGCGTGGCCCGAGGGGGCAATATTACTAGTCCATTGTTCGACTCGAAAAGTGAACTCGCATAAAAGACCTTGGAACATGAAACTGCTCGTTGAAGAGTGTCGCAATACGATGAGCACAGACTGCAACCGGGTACTGACGTAATCATCACATGGGTACGTGTATATTTATGACCGCGCTCGGTGTGGATACACGTGTGCACGCGAATCGTAATAGATCCTACTACTCCAATTCGTATCGCGTCGACAAAGATTTTTTAAAGCCTATTCCCTTACATTGGCTTGATATAATAATTAGCAATGTTTATTTGAAATCGAAATAACTACTTATTACTTTACTGGTCGACGGATATACAGTGGGTAATTTTAATGTTTGGACAATTTACAATGTTTTACTTTGTCTACGACTGAACATAAATTAAGGCATACTGCATTGGAACATTAAGTATACTTAACGAAGGTATTTGATTTTGATTTCTAATGTTTTTTTTATAAAATGCACCTCAGAATAAATAATGTTACTTTAATATTCAAAATAAAAATAAAATAAAACTCAAAGTCCACAGAAGAATGTTTGAAAAATGCGTTTTGAATCGCTTTAATTATTATTTTCACTTACTCAACATCTAGTGATAGTCCATACCAATTTTTTTAACGTTGACGCTAAAATATATATGCTTGTGTTCGTAATAAATACTTGGACGAAACATGGAAAGAATTCGTTCTTACAATAAATTGATTGTTCGTGTACGAGGTGACCGGCCGACGATTCGGGGGCAGTGAGCGAATATCGATTCGTTATTTTTAGGGGCAGTCCATCCGTGGACCCCACCTTCGCCGCTGGCGAGTTCGAAAATTTATCTTTAATGAATTTTCTATTATGCATAGTTTTCGTTCTCTCGGTTCGTTTTTCAATCAAACTTCCGACGATAAATGGAGCTAAATTCGAAAGGACAAATTAAGGGTGTTGCGTAATTTTATTATTAACGCTATATTCGAACAATGATAAAACCTTCGAGATATTCGTGATATAGGTATTCGACATAATTATTGCTACAAAAAGTGGACGATCCGTGCACCGTCTACCAGAACAATGCGACAAGCAATAATCTTTCGTAGTTGTGCAAATATCTGTGACTTTCAAGTCACATTAGTTACACTTTGCGGCAATTAAAAAAAAGAAAATTAATTATGTATCGATCGATTACTTATCGGGCATTTACGTTCTATTTACTGTAAACAAAAACTTGTCGGAAACCCATTCATAATTGTTACAATATATAAAAAGGATGATGATGGCGATATTGAAAATAAGAATTGATGAATTCTAACGATGATGACAATGATTATAATAATAGCAATTAAATTTACATCTTACTTCGACAAACTATTCTTTTCTTTTTAAAATAAATTATGTCATTATGTTCAAGTTCTTAAATTAAATTTCAAGCATAGTCATTAATAAAATTACGAATATTGTTTCGTTAGGACCATGTGTATAGATTATTGGAAAATTTAATATTTTCAACTGTCTGAATATAGTTTGCGTCGGAACTGCAAAAATATTTCAATAATTCATTGTTAAACCCACAGTCGCTCAAATTCTCTTTGCCGAACACATTTGGCGGCATTTTGGACGCATTCTCCGATTCCGTTTCTTCAAGTCCATGTTTTGCTGCCGAAAACGAAGTCGTCGAGTATAGTTGAGCACAACTCGCCGAATATTGTTCCAACTGACTAGATTTCATTAAAGAACAAAGAGAGGGCAATACATGCGGTAAAAGAGGACCCTTCAATTCTAGAGAAAAATACCGTTCGTTGTCCACGCGTACTATGCTTTCTTTAACCTTTAAAAAAAAAAGAAGTTTGGATTCCGCACGACCTAAGTAGACTTACATACAAAAAGCTATTGTACCTTAATTGGTTTTAACGTGGCACCATGAAAGGCAGTAGGTGCTAAAAGAGTTGGAGGCACTCCAGCCAATGGGCCGGTTGTTGTAATAGCAGACTTACAATTAATTAAAAAATTGAATAAACCTTGTACCTCGGCGCCTTTCACGAAAATGAGAGAGTGTTTCATATTGTCTATTTCGGTTTCTTTTTCTAACGTCATTCGTGCCTATAATCAATTTTCGTAAACGATCTAATGAAAATAAGTGAAATATTATACAATTACCTGTGAGCTATTAATTTTACGAATTTCAGTATTGTCAACTCCTAGACTCTGCAACCATTCGTCTTGCGTTTCATCCTCATCGTCGTCAGGAGCTTGATCCTCTGCGTGGCTTAATTGTACCGTGGCGTTCGATATACTCGAATCCTGTGTTTCACACCCTGAATCGCCCGCGTCTGATCGTCTTTTAAAATCTTTTCTCAGAGGCATCGTGTATTCTATTTCTATAAAATTGTATAATTTTATAGATGTTCATACGACGTATCCAAAGTTTTCCGTACCTTCTTGTTTTAAAAGTTGTCGGAAACCACGTGTGGTCGGAGTCAAAAATGCATGAGCTTCGGATATTCCGCAAATTCCAGCGGCGCGAAACAGTACGGTGAAATTATTTGCGCAAACATAAAAATATGGACACTGTTGTGCTCGTAATAAATGAAAAAGCGACCTAAAGCTCTCGCTCCAGTCTTTGTACAAAGCGTTTTTGACGACTATATTGTGTATTATCGACAAATTAGTTGTTGAATTAGCACTCACTTTGCCAGCAGAGCGAGGAAATAATTCTAACCATGGTAATGAAGGATGTTGCCATGTTAAACAACACCTGTGTAGCCTATTTGAAATAAATTCTAATAACACCCACTCATATAGAATACTTCTACACAAATACAGAAAATGTTAGAAAAGTTACCTCGCGTTTGGACTAGTGTCTAAAGTTGTATCTTGTTCGCTAATATCTAAACACCTTACAAAACCAGTTGTACCGGAAGCCTCCTCACTCGTTTTTAATTTAGAATTCCATGGAAATGACTTTGGAGACATAAATCTCATTTTAGTCTTTAAAGTCCAGTCTATTGGAATGTTCTTTTCACCTTTTGGTATTTCTGGCTCTGGAGTAGCCTTGTTTCCTTCTAATTTTGAAAGCACATTATAGAATGTTAAAGAACTTTCCGATATAGAACTATCTGCTTTGTCTGGTTTTGGAGCTTCAATTTTTAATAATTCAAACAATGTATTATCATTACTAGCTTCTAGCTCTGGAGACATTATATTAGGTTTTTTATCACTCTTGTCATGTGCAAAAGGATTTTTACGTTTTTGAGCTACACAGTTGCTGGAGTCTAGTTCACATTTCTTGTTTACATCGGAAGACTTTAATCCAATGCTTTCTCTGTTGACACGTATGTTGCTTATACGTGCTTGGAGTGCACGCTTTCTCACTTTTAAACGATGCAATTGCATTACCTGATCCGGTCTCTTCCATTCTGATGCTTGTGATCTGTTTTGCTCTGCCATCTGCGAGTTTAATGTAAATTTCGTCATGCTGGTATTAAAGAAAACAAAAATAGCACTTATTAACAATATGACAAACAAACAACAATATATTGTGTAAATAGAAATGTAAATTTGTCTGATACTTGTCATTTATTATTTCGAAAAGTTTGTTTATGGAGTACAGAGATAGGTTAGAGTTCCAAAGTTTCTGTATTTCCAGTAATTTAAACGTTCATCAATAATATTTAAGGAAAGTTTTACGTTAATTAATACATACCGTTGTTTAAAATGTTGGTCATTTTTACATTGGATTATCAGTCAAATAAATTTATTCTAACCCGCCAATCCAAGATGCGCGTGGATCTGAGCACAGAGCACACTGATCAATCAGCAGTCCCTTCTCCCCTATGACGTAATACGCTTGTTTACGTTTTTTTCATTCAATTCTACGCGACTTTGGAGTACGCATGTAGTGATATAGTATACAATGAAACATAAACACTACGTAGTAGTAGAGTCCTGATATATCATCTATTAAGTAAGAACTAAGAACGTAGAAATATAATTTAATAATCAAACGAAAATAATATTCCTAGGAATACGTTGCGATAAATAATAACATAAATGTAATATAAAGGACTGTTAGGAAAAGTTACATATTCTTATACAATTTTTAATTTTGGTGATTTCATTTGTAAAATAATAATAATTAAAACTACACGTTAGTTCATTTTTGTGAAGACGGTAAAATTACATACATTATCAGCTCCATAAAAATAATTATCCTTTTATACTATTCTATGTGTACTTACATATTACAAGTAATCAAATAATTTTTAGCAGTCGTGTATGAATGTAGGTAGTGGAGATAGATTGCGTAAATGGGACTTTTTATTACAGTGATTCTCAACGGGAGTCGTGTGGTCCCCTGCTGAGACAAAAAAATAAGTCTATAAATACCTACTGAAATTTGGTGGCTTTTTTTGTCAGTTAATCAATTGGATTGCTTTAATTTCCTAAAAATAATTTTTCTTTTTATTTAATTCTACCAAATAACAAGAAAGTATTTGCAAGCATTGTGACGTACTTATTTGTCTCTGTTGATTTACATATGTGAACCTAAAGTACCTGGGTTTAGAAGAAAAATGAGACTACTATGAATTTTAGTACAATCAAAGAATGTTATATTTCATCATCGCAGTATTCGTAGTTATTTATTTGCAGATATGTAGGCTATTTTGATTAAAATGGTAATTTGTTACACTCTGTATAATTTTCAGTTGATAACGTCACTCGTCGCAGTCATTTGGATAGTACGTGGTAGGTGCTGCCTTCGGTGGGTACTTTTGAAAATAAATGTTCGTGATAGCTTTATCTTATCATACTCTATTGAAGAGTACAATCAGAATACTATGTTCCTTTGATAATTTAGATAAAGCCGACTTTGATTCTAAATGTGTATCTGCCTTATTAACAGATTATTCTATGTGACCAACAAAGTAACCAGTCTTATCCATCGCGTGATCTAAATTACCGAGTCTCGTCAAGAGAGTACTCTACCTTATTCACTGCGTTCAACCACCTCTTCCCTCACTGCAAACCCTGAAGATTCACGTGCTATGACTTGAGCATCGGTGATCTATACCTAGAGTTAAGAGATATTAAGAAAAAAGTAGAGGGGCACGGAAATGATGAACGACAGCTAGTGTACAACGTTTGATCTCATACTTTTATTTGGAAACGTCGAGTTCCCTGACATCTAAAAGTCCGCAACGCTTATACCAATGACAAAACGACCGTAACTTATTAATTATTGACGACTTGTTAAGCATCGTTAGGAGGGCCCAAAGCTGCTTCGCGCGTAACCGATTCTTGTCTTTCTTTCGTCGCGCACTCTGCTCACCAGGATCCCGTCGTCCATATTCAACGAAACGGATCCAAACGGGCGCGTACATTGACAACATTCATTGACCTAAAAATCATTTTCGACACTCGGCAGAGTAGGAAAGGGGAAGTAGGAAGATGTAGAGAACGCGAGCCTCCGATTTATTTCACAATTTCTGTGTTTCTCTCTTTGGTACGCAGTTCGACATTCACGCGCACAACAGTTACCAACGATTCGCTTGTTCTTTGCAGACAGAACACACTCTGGCGTGCGCGTTCGCGCGCGTAGGAAATCTCTATCCCTCCACCCATGCACACGCATACATACATACATACGAAAAAGCCGTTCTTGCTTTGTTTTTCTTGTCCTTTGGCACAAAGTTATCCTGGCACTCGGCTTGGCGGTGACCAACAGCGGATGCCTTCTTCACCGCGGCCAGAGTAACACCGGTATGAAGAGAAACATCGACACGAAATGCGATAATTTGTTGCTACATCCCACGAACCCTCTGCTGGCGTTGTTTGCGCCCGAACTTTGTGCGGCCTCGGCTAAACCTGCGCGGATGAAAAATTCAATTTGACGTTTCTCCAGTACCACCGCCTCGATAATTGTGTCTGATCGATTTTTCTAGTCTCGCGAAGCTCGTGGGAGATCTGCGTTCCACTTACCACCGATGATGGACACGTGATCTTTTCCGCGCGACGACCTGTCGAAGCCGACTTTAATCTCTGAAAGCAGACGACGAACGCTGGAGACCAATGACATAGGGATTTTTCTTATTGTTGGACGTTCTTAATTTGAAGCTTTGGGGATAAAGGGTAAATAGATTTCTTTTGGGATACTAGGATGTAGAAATTCAAATCATCTTGAAGGATTTTAATTTACAACCTTCACCTAATAGTAATAGTCACGAATTTGTCAATGTTTGGTATTTTCAAATCTCTATTCACATTGCGGAAACACCAGCTGATAACTATCTGTTGTGCTATCAAGCTGAGCAAATATACAAACTAATGGGAATAATCAACAGCCGCGTAATCGTCGGGAACAATGTTTGCAAACAGGCTAGAAATGCTACAGTCGCGGTGTCTGCGTAAAGCTATTATCACTTTGTACGCTGCAGTTAAATTTCCCTTGCAAAACAGCTTTTCGCTGCGACACTAATTATGGAAATTAAAAAAAAAAAGAGTTTTAAAACAGAGTTTTTCCTGTTCGTGAGCAAATTTAAATTCTATTTTAAATTATTCTCACGGCATTCTTGAACTTTGGCTATGACAACCGCGTACAGTCCTTTAATTCGGATGTTTTTCAAGGAGGTTTCGAGGAACTTACCGTACAGCCTTATGATGGCATCGCCCTTGCCAAGGCTGTTCGTCGACACACACTTATATTTGCCCACATCCTGCTCGGCGAACTCTTTGATTAACAGCGACATGAGAACTGTGTATCCGGAACGTTCTTCTCGTACCTTGTACTTGTGCCTGCGCAGTACAACGACTATGAATCTCCCTAACCGTCGAGGAACAGTAAACATTTTAACCCTTGCACGACTACCACTGACAAAGGGAATCTACCAACTGTCGTCTCAATTTTTCATTCGTTTCTTTTCTGTTAGGTGTAGAGGCAGACACCCGTAACTTGAGAAGGTAGGAACAGCTGTCCTCTGTTTCGGTGAAATACATTTTTAAAAACGCGAAAAATGTCACTCCACTGGCGACGCGTCGCGACGTCCCCGTTCTTTCGACTCTACACTGAAGTGGCAGGGTCACAATTCTCCTACAAGGTTGCCAACTAGTTTACTGCTCGAGAAATAAAAAGAAAGCAATAATTCTCGGAATTAATCAAATAAAATATGATTGCATAACTATTTCCCCATAAATAATTTAATTTCCAATGAAACTATCTGACACCTATACAGGGAAGAATTTATCAAACATAACATCAAACATCGAAGATCAACGAAACTTCATTTAACTAGCCGTAACGAGCATTCGTTAGATTTGTTAGCCCATATAATAAATATTTACCATAGCCAGTAACAAAGAGTTTTAATATCGTTACTCGGCCATTGTAGCTAAAGGATTTTCCAAAAGAAGGTTTTAGAATTTTGTTTTTTATTAACCCTCCACGTTGATTATAATCACGTGTACTTTCATTAAATGTAAGAAATAAATCGGACAAATATTCCTTGTAACTTGTGCTTTATTAAAAAACAATATCCTAAATCCTCTTTTGAAAAATTCCACACTGACACTAATTAACGTTAGCGATTAAGTTTGCTATGGTTTAGAATCGTGTCAGCCATAGTGTTCCAAGGGTTAACTTTAAGAGTGCGTACAATCTCACCCCTCGATCAGCATTTCATCTTCTGCCCCTCGTCGGTTCTTCACCCAGTAATTAATTGTGTTTGGGAATGCCTCGACGTAGCACTCCAACTGCACGTGCGTGCCCAAAGGTGCGCCCAGCAGCTGATTAGGTGCTTTGACGACAGGTGCAACTGTGGAAGCGGTTTCAAATTAATTGCCCGATTTATCGCGATACACACGGTCCACCCAAGATTTTGATTAATGTTCTCGAGCGTAGAATATAGACATCTATAATTTGTCGCGATTACATGTCCTCTGTGCACGGTTTCCTCCCCCGCAAGTGTGTGATTTAATACGACAATTAATCTGAACGGCTCCGGAATGTTCTAACGAGGTTACGCAAAAGGTTTACCCTTAAAGCGCGTTCTATGGGGTTGTTCAAATGTAATTTCACAAATTTAAAAAATAAACGAGCATTTTAAATCTTTCCATTTCACGAGTGTTTATCAATCGCAGCGTAAAATAAAAAAATAAAAAATGAACCCGAAACTCGAATTTAACAATTAACCACGCGCAACGAAGGCAGAGAAATATTTACATACTTCGCTCGCCGCGATTTCCAGAAAAAAAAGTACGAAATTTGGCCAGATTTTCAAATGCTTGGCAAATATGAACAAAATTACGGACACGTAAACAACCCCAGTGTATGGTTTTTGCGTTTCAGTTCCAAGATTAACATCGACCAAGAACGTTGCAGTTACTCGTTCGTGTTTCGTCTATAATTCATCTCGACGTTTCTCACCGACAGAAACTTTATTCGTGGAAAATTCTAACAAGAAATTGTCTGAGCATTTTTGAAAACACCGAGAACGTTCAGGGTGGATTTAATTTGGAACGTATACGTTCCTAGAATAATTGAGAAACGACTCGGAAAGTCAAAGCAATGAGGATTGTGTATACAAGTATACATATGGCTGTATGTTACTCGATATCGTCGTATTTACAAATACGCTAGGTTTGTTTGGCAATGAACGCTTCATGTGACTCGTTACCTTTGTTACCTTTATATAATCGTGTCTTTACAACTCTATCCTCTCTATCGTCGAATTACCAACTACTGCGACGTAAAAGTGTCATTTATCTACGTATTAAAACATAGTATTTAAATAATTAGAATGAATTAGAATAGCAGTGATAATATTACTCATAATACTCTTGTCTATCGTTC